CAGGTGCAATATTAGCAACACATGAAAATGTTAAACTTTGAATCAACCTCTGTTACACTGTTCTCACATTTTCTGAAAGTAGGAAGGTGAAAAATTTGTGTTTTCCTCTCTCTTCTTTTTGGTATATGAAGAATTTTTCTTCACACAAGATGACAAGGCTTTTAAATGTAGCACCAATTTTACAGCAGGAGGTGGTTTAAAGTTTAACAGTGTTAAGTGGTGTTGTATTGTCAACAGTCAAACAGACATAAAATCACAGCAAGTCAGGCCAGCTAGCTCAGCATCTATCTACTAGTTAAGATTCTAAAATGATACTCTGAATATTTCCAATCATTACACAATCACTATCACTAAAGAATTAGTTCCAGAAAGAAAACTTTGGAGTTCAGGGCTGAAATTTTACATAAATAACCTCACCTATAAGTTTACTTCAGAGCCACACAGAAAACAACTGAAGTACTGAATCTATACAACCTGTATTACATCAAATCTTGTGTGGCCTGTGCTGCTCATAGTTTGCCAGAACAGTTCAATATTTTTCCATTAACTATGAACACTTTGAAAAATACCAGGTGAGGTATTTTAAGATAAACAGAATAAATAAAAAAAATATGTCAATCTATTGGAAATTTTTGTGCTGCAAAAATTATCAAATCACTGTAATTCATGATTTTACTTAAAAACAAATATCAAGATTTTGGGAATTTTGTAGACTGCATTGGAAAAAATAATAATACACAACTGGAAAGGAAGCCTTAGTGTGGTCCTAAATAAATAGATTAGAATAATTAATGTTACATTGCTTGTATGTACTAACTGTTCATAAAACTCTTTCTACTCCATACCCTTCCATAACATATAGTAGACTTTATAATCTGATGTCTAAAAGATTCTTATAATAACATAATTATCACACTTTGATAACAAACCAATCCAAAATTCTCAATTACAGAGCTGACAACATTCATGAGAAATTCTAATAGAAAAGACTAAACAGGACAAATTCCAATGGTGTTATTTTTAGCTATGATGGACTACTGTTGAATATGTGATGTAAAAAAAAACGGCTTTAAAGACATGTAATTTACATAATTAGGAGTAATTTAAATCAATATTTTACTGGCCTCTGCCTGTCACAATGAGGATGTACAGATTTTATTGATAATGAAATATTTACTACATAATAGCAAAAATTAAATGGACTGGTAAACTTTTCACATATCTAGCTGATTAAAATCCTAATGGCATTTTTTAAATTCAGGTACATTTTGTAATACCTTATTATGAGTATAATCATATCAAATTTTCTGGTCTTACAAAATTATTTGAATAGAATTAAAAAGAAATAATCAATGAACACGCAAACTTTCAAATATGAACTCACTATCTTTCATAGAAAATTTTATTTTTGATAAAAGATAATAGATTTTATTCTAGAGAGATACTTTGGAACCATGAATCCATTAAGCCGATGTCAAAATTTCTGACATATGGTTACTCTGCAATTAATGAAAATACATGCGAAGCTTACAAAACATCTGTGACAGTTAATTGTGTACAAATTGAAATTTCTGCTCCTCGTTTCTTTCCAAATCTATTCCAGAAATTGCAGACCTTGTGCACTGCTATACTTGACTGTTTTGGTAAAAAAATCTATTGTAAACAAAGATCACCTCCAGAATTTCAGAAAAATTTGATTTTCAGTTGATGATACAAAATGTATTCAGAGAGCCTACTAAGTTAAACTCACAAGTTTAACTCATTTTAGTAACATTTTCTTTCACAACATCACCAATATAACAGGTTCAATTCAGCAGCCCAACACCAAGAGTGTACAGATTTTATGCCTGGTCTAGTGGAAATAGTAGTTAGTTCAGTGAGCATTTTTTTGCAAAATTTACCTGCTGGCGCATAATAAATATAAAACAGATGTACTTTAAATACCTACAGTACAAAATATCTTTGCTTTCGATATCCTACTTTTTAATATTACATGTACCTTTGCTGTTGTTTGGCTGGTTGGGTTGTTTTTATAATATTGAAATCTTGATTCATATAACAGGAATAATATCTGTATATGTATTTCATCAAAATTTGAGAGATGAAACATAAACACAACATTTCTTTAGTTTAGCCTAAGTCAAGTCAACTACCTATATATCAGAATGAACAAATATATGCAGAACTCTTTAAACAAACAGTGTACACACAGTATGACATATCTAGGTACTCCAAAAGATGGTAACTTCAATTATGTGATATGGTTCATGGCATTCTATTTACAGGAATGTAAGGCAGTCCCAAAACATGTAATCTCAAGGTGTATATACACATTCTTTTGTAGTCATTCAATTAATGCTATAAACAGATTCTAAATGATCTATACCAATCTAATGATCAATATAAATAATTTATTGACATAAACAAAAAATTATCTGACAAGTTTAACAAACATCGTTTAACAAAATGTATCTCAATACAAATTAACACCCTGAGCAGTGTAAAACCAACAGCAAATTATTCAGAGTTAATCACTAATTATCAGATCAGGACTACTTAAAACACATAAAAAAATGTATGCATTATTGCTCTCGTGTAATCTTAATGCTACAATTCTCAAACAGAGGTGTATACATTTAATGTATATAATATGTAGTATGGCAAATTATTTGCTGACCAAAAGAAAAATATTTAGGTCAGGAAAACATGAAATTTATATAAATTATTATTGGCCAAAACAGGACCAAGACAATAATTTAAAATCTTACAACATTCATTTTAATTTTCACTAATACATTAAAAGCTTACAATATGAAATGTGATTTGGTTAGTATTATCACAATTTTTCTAAAGTTTATTACTACCACTGAGAGATCTTACTGGAAAATCTAAAGTTATTGAAAATATTAAGTTAGCATAATTCTACTTCAAAAAGCTAGTTCAATTGTATTTAAATCAGAAATTTATTTTATTTTACTATTAAGACCTTTAACCTCCTTAATGAGATAAATTGTATGTAGTATCCTATACATCAAATGTTAGAATTTATTCAGTTTTAGGTGTGTTCGAAAACCCCTTAACAGACAGATGATATTTTCTTCCTCATAAATATTTTGCGAAATAGTAACAAATTGAGGTCTGTAATTTTCAATTATTATGCATGACAAATCCATTTTAGTCAACAACATCAGGACTTTCTGAAAGCTGAATTTATTAAAGCAACTAGATTCCATTGGATCAACACATACATGTTAATTTGATGCAATGACATGCAAAGACATAGATTATAAAATCAAACTTGAAGCCAAGTACGGATGCCCAGTCACTCAACACCATGACTAGGTTAACATTTAACACCATACAGTACAAAAATAATTAATCCACACTTTGTTCCTGGTATTTCCCTCAATTTCCATCACACAATGGGTCAAAGGTAGCCAGAGAAAGAACAGTGTGTATGTACTGTGAGGTACCCTATCCCTCTATGTATATTGAACTAATATTATTGATTTACCTGTTCCAGAGATAAGTGTTTGTAAATATTTTGCACAATTAAAATTCTTTTGTTAACTAGAACCATATCCTGTTATTTTTATTAAATAAATTTTCAGTATATGTATGGTATTATCTCAGGTGAAAATTTAAAACATCAGGATGGATAAAATGGAATGGAAATATTCAATATTAGTTTCATAAGATTCATTTAACCCTTGGTTTAAGTTAGATACTTTTACACCAGTATGCTGCATTGTCAAAAGCATGTAGTAATGAATAATTAAAATATGTTACATTTCATATTGATTTTTGTTATTATTAGCATGTAGCATGCAGAATGGTGGGGCATAACCATATACACCATGATGATATATATGCTGTATCTCATTCCAAAGTCCATGTACCATGTAATGAAGATTGAACTATTCAATGCAACACCAAGTACTTCCTTTAAGTAACATGTTTTTTAATAGAGCTCTATAGAAGAACAATGGTTTTATATACATCAATTAAACTAACTTAAAATAACTTTAACAAAGCATTCTCTGTTTCAATACATTGTAAAGAAAGCAAAAGAAACCAATTCGTTTGTGTACTCATCCGACAACTCAATCATACTATTTTATTCATAAGTACTGTTGTTGCTACTCGAAAGAATTTACAAAAAAAATTAAAACTTGACATTTTACAAAACATATAAATGCTTATAAACTGGAATAGTTAGTTGATTACTGACAATGGCTATTGTATACTAGACACACTGTATAGAATAATATCTATTTAAATAAAACATTTTATTTTAAATTAAAACCTGCACAAGATATCGACAACGTGATAGTAACGATTTTTCAGTTCGTCATTTAAAACTATTATCCTCATGTAAATAATTGCACTTGTCAATCGAAATAATGAAACCATTTAGGGACCCTTATCTTATCCAGACCAAGAATTTTAACTCCATTGAACGAGTGCGGATAATGTCACATGTAAGCGCAGTGACAGAGAGGTGTCACTACTTGCCTTGTTATGTTCTAACGCAAAATTCCAAACATTCTGCTGGTTAAACGAGGGGTATATTTGTCTGGCATCATACAATTTACTTATTTCTATGCAATGCGATATTCATTTGACACTCACCACCTTGTTCCATGTTACAATTCACTTATAACATCTCTCGAACGAACGTACTCCTCCAGTGTTGTCATTGATTACGCGCCATGCCAGTTACTGCGGAGTTTTCGAAGATCATTCCTAAAAGCTTTATGTTTAAAATTATTCGAATAAAACGCTGAGGAGATAAATCAATTGGACAATAATTGTGATGTTAAATGTTTCTTCTTTTAAAGTTTTACATTTTTACTTTTTAATTTGTTATATGAATATACCACTTAAATGACAGTAGTTCGATATCCGCGTTCTCACTTCCGGCAGACAAGCACCGACTTGACAACCGAAGGTGAAAAGTGATCCGTCTGCTATTTGATAATTTATTTCTGTTGCAAATTAATGAAGATGTTGTGATTATTCTCAGAATTCAGAATTTTTTTCACCATTCACGTAACTGTCCTCTTAGCGGCGCGTCATCGCTTCCGTTTGCATCTACCTAGTTGAAGTTTATGGAATGTGCTCGTTGCATTTCTCATTAAGTGTAGACACGTAGCAGTTATCCCCCTTGGTAAGAATAAGGGTTTGTTTCTCTATAGAATGATTATTGCTACACAAATTTGTTATGTGCATTACAATCTGTATGGCGAATATCTTAACCAACTCCTAAACACTACACGTCCTATTCCATGACGAGGTGCAAGAGTACAATGGCTACAAAGAAAGAGAGGATGGAAGCTTGACAAAATTAATTGAAAAGAATAAAACCTCCAACACTCCAAACAAGACTACACAAATGTCTCATATTCTTCTATAAAGTTGTAGAAGGGCAATACTATCGGATTATTCAATTAATTTCAAAAACACTTACCTATAATTTGTAGGGTTAATGTCAGCTCCTATTCATCATACAGAATATAGCAGTGTATTCATTCATGTCTGTAACAGTACTAGCTCCCACCTACTGACTTATAAGAGAGGTCATGTGTCACCTTCTTGGCTTATTGGTAGGAATACAACTGAACATTGTAAAAATTACTTTGTATCATAATATATGTATACCCAAAAATGATTATTTTTTAAATAATTGTATTTTTCAGATGGCGAACGCAGTAAAGATGATTACGTTTGATGTGACTAACACCATCCTTAAGATACTTGGAGGAGTTGGTCAACAGTATGCTCAGATCTCTAAGCTATATGGTGTAGAAATGGACCCAGTCAAAATCAATCAAGCCTTTAAGACACATTGGGTGAAACAAAATGAACAATATCCAAATTTTGGAGCAGAGGAGAATATGGTCTCCCACCATTGGTGGCATGATCTTGTTCAAAAAACTTTTATTGATGCTGGTTATAAAGGAAATGACAGCACAATTTTAACAATTTTTACACATTTATATGTACATTTTGGAACGTCAAATGGATGGGAGATTCTTCCAGGTGCTGAGGAAACATTACTGAATTTAAGAAACTCTGGTGTCAAATTGGGAGTCGTTTCAAATTTTGATGAACGTTTGGAGCAAATTCTGAGCAAAATGGCTATAAGGCATCACTTTGATTTTGTGGTATCATCAAAAGAATTCAAGATTGCAAAACCAGATGTGAGAATCTTCCAGGAAGCTCTCAGACTTGGAGACTGTCCAGCTTGTAATTCACTTCATGTTGGGGATCATTTCCTTAATGACTACTGTGGAGCAAGGGAGGCAGGCTTGACAGGAGTGCTGTTTAGCAAAGACCTGAACAATGTACCACAGGAAGTTGATAAACATTATGTAGTATCAAATTTGAATGATTTATCTCGATACTTAAAATAAAGAGAACTTTTAGACAGAAAGAACAGGGAAAGTGCAAATTCCTTTGGATTGCTTCATCCAGGAATTGAACCTGGTCTCCAGTGTGATCATCGGCTCTGCCAGCTGAGCCTAGGAAGCATGTTCTGTCAGCTGAGCAACAGAGGCCGTATTCAACACTATGTACAAGCCACAACACCCCACTCCTTATACACTGGTATTTTGTTGCAAAAACAGTACAAAGGAAATTAAATAAAATGTCATTTCTTACAGGATTTTATGAAACAACTCTAGAAGTTTTTATATTTTTAAGCCTTGGAAAGCAAAAATTCAGAACAAATTTCACAAAAGCTCACATGAAATGAACTAAAATTTAAGATACTTTCTATCACATAACTCAAAAAAAGTTATATCTTGACAGGTTTTAAAGCAATAATGTGCAAGTGTTTACCTGTAATTATCTTACCTCATCTGAAGAACAAAGCTGAACTTGCCAAACCGTAATGTCCGTTTTTTATCAAAACTTGTCTGAGCCTTTCTCTGAATTGCTGTACTGAATTTCTTAGAAGTCCTTGATGTGGTTTAGCGTTGTATTTGACCCCTCATTTAATGTTAATGAAAAACCTTTTAAATTTTCATGACTTTCATCACATGTATTATCAAAGCAAATTTTTCTATTATGATTGAAATATTCAGCAATTAGTGAAATTTTGAATTTTCAATCAATGGTCATGTTTTGTATTGTTTTCATATGTGTGCATTAAGTTTGTTTAGTTAAATATCATCTGGACTTTTCTGGTTTATTACTTTCCCTAAATTTAACATCAAGGACACTACTGTAACACAGTAGACGTCATAAACACACATATTTGTTGGTAATAGCCATGTTTATTACATGTTGAATAATAATAATGTTACATGTACAAAAGCAACATTTCATCAACATTCAGAGTTCATATACTCATACTAGTACTTCACGTTGTGTCTTGTATCAGAACTGTCCATCTGGTGGGCTCTCCCAAGGCTGTGTGTTCTTACCTAGAGATTCTCCCTGCTAATTTGTTACTTAAAATAGACCCTAATAAATACTCTACTACTAGGTGGCCACTGTCCGAACAGGAAATTGCATAAGTTTGATTATCAAGGAAGTGGGGATAATCTCTAATTAATTATCTGGCCGAAGCTGTACACCCACTGATAAGATTCTCGGGGCCTAGACAACACCAACCTAAGTGTATATATGTGTGACAGGTACATATATATTCATTATCTGTAGTGGAACACCAAAATGCTAGTTTCCATTTTTAGTGTATTCACATGTTGTGCCTGTGCCACGATGGTCCTGTGTGCACGTCCTGTGTACCTCCTGTGTACATCCTGTCTTTTCCATATTTGGTGTTGTTATTTAGTTATATGTTAATTAGGGTGTAAGTTGTTGGGAAAGCATGTGAGTGTGAAAGTTAAGAAATAAAACCATTTTACAACCGCACATTGTTGCAGTTGGCCGTAGACCAGGGTGGGGACGTATCCTCTGGAGTCCACTTGGTACCATATTGACAAGACAACTGGACTTTAATACATTTTATCAGACCATGTACAGGTCTTGGAAGGTAATTAAATGTTATATTATACATCTGATTAATAATTATTATTAATAATCAATTAATAATTATTAATTTGAAATCATAATTGTTTAATCATTCCATATCGGTCCATTGTCATACAGAATACGCATATACTAGGTATTCTTATAAGGCCGTTGTTTTTTAGGGTTTTCTTCGTGTGAGTCCGCCGGTTATGTATAAATAAATAAATACAAGGAGAAGAACAACTGTTTGTTTTTCTTTGCCCTGTGACATATGCAAGTAATTATCCACGCCCCTGTGAACTACCTATATGTGTTATATTGATATACTATTGAACATTAAATGAACTATTGTTTAAACTAACTTATTTCAACCAATCCCATATGAAAATCTAGCTGTGTTACACAGTCAAAGATTACTGACTGATGTATCTGGGTTACACTAGCATTGAAACCACATTTTGTAACAGTATATCTAACCCTATTTTGTTACACTACAATCTCTTTCCAAAATTTAACATCAAGGACACTACAATCACTTTCCAAAATTTAACATCCAGGACATTACTACAATCACTTTCCAAAATCTAACATCCAGGACATTACAATCTCTTTCCATTTCTTTATAGCAACAATCCTGTTATCCTCACTTCAGGTGTTTACATGTCGAGTTTGATATCACAAAGGGTTTGTTCCACTTATCATGCTATTTGTAATTGGTGCAGACCACTTCTAGACTTATGATATAGGATTTCAAGAGATGAGTAAACTTGCAGATTAGATGTATAGCGTCGAAGGGAAATTAATCCTGAGGATAGATTTTCATTATTAATACAAGATAATGTTTTTTATTTCAATTCTGATTTTTTTAAAGATAGTTAAGATATGACCATGTTAATTTGCAATAATTTCCATGTACAGTGTATATGTATCAATATTTGTGAAGCATTTGCTATACACGTTGAAATAGATGTAAAAGCAAGGAAATAAATGTCATTTGCAGTACATCATGTTATCTTGCAGTTTCTGTGACACACAGTAAAGAGTTCGGAAATGGCATAAATTCTACTTAAATGCATGATATTCCCATAGATATCACCAAATACTGACCAAACACTGTATTAAAACCACACATTATGTTTTGTTAAAAAAACATTTTGTGGATTTGTTTTTTATTTACTGAAGGTGGTAATTTATCCAAAAAAACTAATGCAGAACATGCATTATATTTAGATAAGAATTATTATAGTTCAAATTAAAACCAAATGCAAACTTTGCACCAAACTATTGGCAAGCTTACTATAAATCAGGGATATGAATTTACAGGTGAATGTTAATATATTAAGTTTTTTCCACTCATCTGATGACTATTGGTTAACCTGAATCCTAATTTACAAACTGTTTTTAGATTCTAGAGTCTTTTAAACAGTGTCGTCATTTACATTCCTATTTATAGTAATGGTGACTTTGACCTTTGGACCTGAAAAGCAATCCCAAGTAAGCACTGTGTACTGTTATATTGGTATGTGTACAGTATAGATGTCCATGTGATTTGGCTGAAAATACAAATGAAAGAATATACTGACTGAAAACTTGGCTTCAGGACTCGCTCCACTTCTATTTTGTTTGACACTACATGTGTGAAGTTTGTGGCACATACATTAAATAATTTATAATTACTTATCTTCTCTCAGGAGTGAAAATTCTTTTAAAACTTGAACTTCAATTTGTTTTACTTTTTTAACATGAATTAAGTAAATTACAGTGGAAAAACGTCACCACATACTTATTTTGAAACCAAAAACATGGTTACAAAACCAGTATCTAATGATCAAAATGAAATTTTTTAAAGAGCTAATAGTCACTATAAACAGATTGAGTAAGTAAGCAAAATGACCATTTAATCTTGAAGACAATCTTGTTGACAGCAAACAAGATTACTGCTAAAATATGTTAACAGTAGTCAGTGATGCAGAATATCTTTTCCTGAAAAATACCTATATATAAACAAACTCGGTACATGTAGAGTGTATAAGGTAAATACATTGTATTCAAGTAAACAGTGACAACAAAAACATAAAATCATATCACAAACTGCATTCAAATCATGGATTCAAAAATAATTTCTGATATCAAAATTCCTCTACTGGATGTTGATTAAGATTCCCATCAGGTTTGTATGTATCCTGGTTTGTTGATAGTTTATGTAGAGCATGCTTATTTACACATGAAATACAGAATATATTAATCTTCTTGATCTTCAAAATAATTTGACAGAATTTTTAACATAATCAACTTGTATGACCTTGAAAACAGGTCAATGTCAAATATTGTTCTCATCTTTCTTACAAATATCAAATATTTGTAAAAAATCTGTTTCAATGTTTAAATTAACGGAATAAGCATCCAATAAAATACTAATGAAGTGATCATATATTTATAAAACACCACAATAAGCCTTTACTCTTTCACCTCTCCATCTATTACTTCAGGTTCTTCCTCATTTAATTTACTAGACAGGAACTTTTGCACTTCTTTTTTCATTTTCTTGGTTGCTATGAGTTCTTCCTTCATTCTGATCCTTTCTGATACACTTAAAGCTGGAGACACTTGTGGTTGTTTCATCATACGTCGGAATACACCTTTATTGTCTTTGTTTAAATATCCTAAAGTAGGACTAAGTCTCTCCAGGTGAGATGGTGGTCGGATGAGCTTACAATCTTTGATATTACCAGTGATTTTGTTCAATTCCCAATCCTGATACAACAGGGCATAGCTTATATCGTAAACACCACTACGAATCCTACGGATGCCAGCACACACTGCTGTAGTCTTCATCAACAGTCCAAAATTATGAATTACTTCAGCAAGAAAATAGCACCTTTCATTGATGGCATGAATCTCTGAAATCAAGAACATATCTTCCATACATTACATTTCAATTTTGACTCAGGATGTAAAATAAGGAAACTATTGAATATTGCAGGTTGTTTTGTCATGAAATTTGTTCTTTAAAAGTTGGATCTTTTCCCTCTCGTCTCTTTCCTCTTATTTCTTCTCAAATATATGAAATTTTAGCATTCCTCTTATGAAATAGCAATAATTATTGATATCTGTCAAACTGTCAAGTTCAAGATGGCCACCAGTGTGCCATCTTATTTTTCTGATCTGTTCTGAAATGGATGCTAGAAAACAAATAAGAGAGAGAAATGAGAAATACCAATAATGAACTTCAATTATTCTTATTATGTTAAGTCTAACATATGGCCTCCTGTCAGCCATTTTGTTTTTTTCTGATCAGACTCATTTAAAATTTTCAAAGACAGTTTAAAAGAAAAATATACATGAGTGACATAAAATAAGAAATGATTTAAGTATGTACATGATGGTATAATACTGGTCAAATAAAGAGTTTCATTCACAGCCTAGTGATGGATCATCACCGAAATATTATGTAATTAAAAAATCAACAGTTTCTCCTACCCAGTGTAAAGTATGGTGGGTCAAATGCCACACATTTGATGCTGTAGATAATAGGCTCTGTGATATGCATCTGTGGACGCAGCAGCCCCTGTGTGGCTAGCTCATATGCCTCCTGACTCTCTGGGTTAACTCCAGCATAGCTAAATAAATGATCACTTTTCATTACTGAGCAACCTATTCATATTACCTCTAGATTTTGGTTACAAAAAACAAATGGATTTTTTTTCTAAAGTTTGAATTCATATTGCAAATAATTTAGTTTCACAAAGAATTCTGGTTGTTTTGCAAACATTTTTTTTGCCTCAGTTTTCAACACAAATCAGTAAACTGTTCAAACTTGATTATTTTAAAAATAAATTCAATTTAATAAACCACAGGACATACATCTTCAATCATGTTGTCTAAAGGTTAAATTTGTCAAAATGCATAATTGTAAGGAATTTTGAACAAACCTATCTCCATCACTGAATTTCTTTTTCTACATAATTGCATATTGTTCATACCTCTGCTGTGATGAAGCAGACATTAAGATACTCACTCAAACATCTTCCTCTGGTGAGTAGCCTCCACAGCAGCACACACCTTCTCCACCAGTGACGTGTTCACATGGCCTGTAATAGAACAAAATGGTAATATACACAACAATTACACCAGCACTTCAAAGCCATGCTGGATATATTTGCAGATATATGTCTAGAAATTAGTTTTATCAAGACAAAAAAGTTATTTTTTATTTAAAAGAATGTGAGACTAATTAACCTTGAAGTAAATCCAAGGAACCTAAATATATTAAGTTAAAAGACAATTCTCAAGACAAGACTGATAAAGTGATTGCTACAGGAAAGTCCTACATCCTTGTGAGATTCCCTTCTCAGGGGTCAACCAGACTTAGAATAAATATGAATGTAAATGATTTTCTGTACAGTTGATCCTGTATAGTGCAGAACCTTGTCTAAACCAGACGTTTACTCTATCAAACCATCAGTTATCCTATATCTTGTCTGACCAATACAGTGTGATATTAGACAGGTTCCACTGTACCATATCTTGTATGTGTACCCTGTACTGACAAGACATAAAAATCTTTTATCATCTCCAAGGTGGAAAAAACATCCACAATGGCACAAGAAAGACTTACTAAAAGTGCTCCTTTCAACAATGCGACCTTTGGTACTATAGGAATCAGATGCCCAGCCCAAGAGACCTTTCACATGGTATACCTAGGACAACAGATAAAAGTCTAAATAAACATAGGATTCTGCCATAGTCATAGTGTCATGAACATTCTGAGCTTTGATTTAATTTCAATTAAAATAAATAGTCTAAAAAATGAAATATTCTGATTATATTTTGTTTTTAAAATAAATCTTCAAATTTGAAGTCAAGAAATGATTTTCGATACCACAAAACAAGATGACATGTGACATTTTACTCAATCACTTTGTGGAGGTCATGAGCATATTGTCTTGGCATGTATATCATGGATTCTTTACATATGTAACAGGAGCAGAAAAATTCATGACCAGATCTAGGTTAAAACCTTGGAGTCTCCAAACTCTAGATGGACACTATACCAATTAAGCTACCAGGTCACTGACAATTGACCCAATCCATTTCTGCTACATCCCTTCCTCCTTGCCCCAAAGATTGACTTTTATCACCCAACAAACAGCATATTCATTGCATTCAATCCTTCCCTACTACACAAACAAGGTTATGACAAATACTAAGGACCTATACCTACCTGTATGTATCTACTACTCAGTTTTTTGGTTCTATATTTGTAGGTTCCAGATCCAATCACTGTTAAAAAAAGAAAACAAATTACCCTGGTTTTATCTTCATCATTATTTCACATTTTCACAAAAGAAATACACTGTAATCAAAATTGCCCATCAATTAAGTTTGCCTCTTATAGTTGAACTTATATTCTGTAAAACTTAAAAAAGTTACATTTACAATGCATTTGTAATATCTATATACATGAACAAATACTCCAAGGAACAAAAGATCCCATACTGATATTAGTGCCCACCATTGTATAATCTTATAAGTTCTTTTCATTTTTTAACTCTGATTTGCTCTTTATTTTGTGTTGAATTGACATGAAAATTTATCATAAGTTTATGTCAACAAACAAAACGATTCTTCTCAAGAAATAGTAAGAACAAATTAAACTGTCACATTATATGATTGCTATATATTGGCCACTTAGGATTTGTGATTAGTCTAATAACGGAAAATGAATAAACAATGAAATTTAAGGAACAATACATCCAGTAATGAATATGATAACTGACAAAATCAGAGATGACTGTCAGCCACCCATTTTATTTTCTGATCAGTCTCAATCAGAATGGACAATGCATAACAAGGGATCTTGGGCAACCTTCATATCAAATTCAAGAATGATCCATCAAGCAATTCTCAAGACTTTCTGCTTATATTCAAAATGGACAACTAAATAACAACTAAAGACCAAGTGCTATCTATATATGAAATTTTATTGAACAAGTACCTCTAAAGTAAAAGCCCCAACAAAATATCACAGTGAAAATTCACGATCGATGGATTACAATTGATCAGCAGGTGAAGCCATTTGAGTTTTTGAACTGTTTATTTCTGTGACTTAGAGTATGAGCCAAGATCATTACCTTCAGCAATATTTGTCAGCTTTATCCAAGGAACTAACCAACCAAAATATCATGATTCCTGGCATTTCAGCTAATCAGAATAAGTCACATGAGCATTCTAACAAATATATACCAAGGTGTGGCCTTGAATATAGGTTATGGTTAATTTTGTTTTAATTAACAAATGATCTTTTCACACAAATATCAGGATTCTATGTCTATGGATTACACAAGAATAAAGTGAGTGTATAACAAATTTGAGCCCTATGACTTTGAAGAAGTGTCAAGCTTTATTGCAGAAACCTTTAGCTAAATATCATGATTCTAGGCCTTTCGTAAAACAAAGGAAATCATATACGGTAAGTGTTTTCACAAAATTCATCTTCATGAATTTAACGATTTTGGAAAAGCACCTTAAGATGCTACCATCCAAGAAGTGCTATCGATACTGCCATACCTGGGTGTTGAGAAGATTTTTTAAATCTGAATTGATTTGACCTATTTTGGCCCTGCCCATCAGCCCCTAGGGGTCAGCCACGATCAACATGAGCATATCATTAAGCCGTCATACTTTGCTCATAATTCTAACCAAGATTGAAATATCTCCAAATTACCAAATTACGGCCAATGTTAATCATAATAGGTCACCATGAGACTTTGTCTCTTTGTAATATAGACATACATACCAACAAGACCTGAAGAGTACCTTGCCAGCCCCGTATTTGCAAATAAGCGTAAGTCTTCTGGCTCATATCGGTCACCCAAAACTGAGGATAAACAATTGCAAACAACATGACATGTATTCTCATCTGAGGATGACATATACCTACCTACAGCCCATGGTTTTGTATTCTGACTAACCTTAAGAATACAAATAAAAGACAGAGTACACATTTACATGAAAATTTCTATTCTTAATTATTTTTCTCTTGACATCAGAAAAAACACTGGACAGGTATAAACTATACTAACAGATATAAGATATACTACTTAAAGCTTCCTGCTTAAAAGGAAATTATCCGTATGTAATTATTTTCAATTTTAAAAGTATTCTGTGTCATTTACAGAGTAACAACTGTAGGAAACTGATACACAAAGAAGAGGCCTAGTGGGCCTGAAGCGTTCACCTTGTTGGTATATACCACCAAAATATCATGCATCTAGGCCTTTTAGTTCATAAGAAGTCATCTAAATGTTTTTAAAAATTTGACCCATGTGATCTTGAACATAGGTCATGGTCATTTCTTTTTCCAAACTTTGTCGGGCATTATCTTAGGAATATTCCAGGCAAATATCATGCCCCTTTGCCTTTCAATTTCATAAGAAAATGTCATTAAAAGGTTTTCACAAATTTGACCCCTATGACCTTGAAGTCAAGGTTATCAACATTTGCAAACTTTGTTGGACGTTATCATAGGAACATACCAGCCCAATATCATGTATCTAAGGCCTTTAGTTCATGAGGAGAAGTCATTTAAAGATTTAAAGACCTTGGATTTACGTCAAGGTCATTTCTTTTCCCAAACTTTGTTGGGCTTCATCCTAAGAACACACAAGCCAACTATCATGCCTCTAGGCCTTTTAGTTCATGAGAAAATCATTAAAAGAAAGCTTCCTTACATTATTAGGAAATAGACATTTTTAACAACTTGTTATTTACAATTTGCAGAATTTAGAATCACTGGAATGTAATCATTCAGAGAGATAGTCATGAAATACACTTTTGCTCTGTCAAAAACTGTAGGAGGGGCAATCACCTGACAATATAAAAATGCCTAAAATCTAAAAAGGGCAAAATATCATCAAACCTTTTATTCAAATCAAAACAAAACTCTACATGCCAGACACTTTAACATGATATTATACACTAATGTTTTGATAGGAGATGGTGCTGGTTGTGAAAATAAATCATTTAGTAATCTAGAATACTTACCAAGACGATTGTTCATTATCTCAGCCTCCATTAACTGTTGCTCTGAGCTGAATGTAAGAGAATCTGAGGTTGAATTTGTAGTTAAATTAGAATCCATTCCAACCACTGACTTTTCTGTACTACCAGCCGCCAGCAGGTCAGGCTTGGCATTAGCATGTCCTTCAGCAAGACTTGGTGAACCGGCCTGCAGTCTGGGATTTGTTGTTTCAAAGAGGTAATTTGGTAGAGCATTGATCTCTTTAAAAAGATAAAAAAAGAAACAAAAGGTATCTCAGAATATTGATAAAAACCAAAACATTTTTGTACAGTTTGGATACATTTGTACCCCTAACTATGTATTTGTGTAGAAGACTACTTGAAAACTGGGTAAAAAGTCTTGAATTTCACCAATTTGGTTGGGTTTTTTTTACCCTAAAAGGGGAACAAAGTTTGTGTATGTATGAATTTTAGAAATGGACAGGGGTCATACTTTAATTTCTAATTTCTTTGTTATGGAATACAGTATTGAACAGACATAATTATTTAAAAGAGTCTTATCAATACAGGCTGTGAAATATTTACTACTTGCTTCTTTTCTGTTTTTCCTCATTTCAAAAGTATTAAGGACTAGCAACAACATAATTCAAATAAACATATATCAATTATCTTGACTTAAAAATAATATTACTCCAGAGGAAAGAACGTGACACAATGAAAAAAAAAATTTAACCTAAGATCAATATTTTTTCCAAAAATGTATCACCAAGTTGTTTTTCAAATGTACACAAAGAACTTCATGACAGAGCCTGAGAAGGAGAATAATATTTGTTTCTTGATAAAACAGTTATACAAGTATTATATTTCATTGAGCGGAGTGAAAATTTCTTTCGTCAAGAAACAAGAAATAGAAATTCTATCAATTTTTTCTTGCTTTTCTTGGATGCCAGAAAGATTGAATTTTCCAACCAATCAATTATCTTTTCTCTGCTGTATAATGCTGTTCTACATAGATGACAAGTCTTCAAATAATTTAATAAAAAGTACACGTCAAAATACAACACATGAAAACACTCTACTGGCTAAGTTCAGAGTGGTCAGGATCATTACAAGAGATCCTAAATAGATTTTGGTGCCCACCATTGTTTGATCGTTACTGTTGAATCTGTTTACTCTTCTTTTTCTTTGTTTTAACTGTATGTCTTTTAAAAACTAGAAAATGTCTGTAAGACATGAATGCCCCCCCCCCCCCCCCCCCCCCCCCATGTGAAATAATAGTGAAAGGTCTGAATGAAGTTGTTAGGTGGTATATACTGATTTGGGACCCGACGCAATGGGACGGGACGGGATGGACGGACATGGGCAACGCTATATGCCCCCGGCCATAAATGACGGGGGCATAAAAATGATAATATTCGATTGCTAAATCAAAAACAGTCATCCAACAGCTATTTTTGTTTTTCTTATCAGTCTCAAAATCAAATGGCCACAACAAGGGACCAAGAGGTATCTAGATATTAAAATCTGCAAAAGATCTTCCCAGTACTTCTCAAGAAAAAGCAGTAGCAAAAATAGTAAACAGAAGGACAGAAAAATTGACACAGGGACCACAGACATAGGTGATTTGAATAACCTATCGACTCTTGATGGTTGACTGAAAATACACAGCAAAAATTATAATAAACACTCACAATTTCTAAAGTGTATACATAGGGTATATGTATTCATCAAAAACGGTGTCTTGGTTTGGTATGATGTGGTCTAAGTAGAATATTATAATATTTGAAGGTGAGTTAGGCTGTAAGTAACTACATCCTGTTGTATTGTAGGAAATAGCGAGCTGTGTTAGAGTAAATATTAATGTTGTATTTAGATGTTGTAATAGTCTTATTTAAATTTGTGGTGTGCTAGGAGTATTTGTAAATTGATAAATTATATCTCTGTACTTGTAAGTTGTCAATACTTTGTTGTTGTTTACTTGTGCTGTGGTGCATATCCACATTTAAGGTAAAGTTGTATAACATGGCCTAAAAATATCATAGGGAACTTTCAGTATCTGATTATTTTTTTCAGTTGTAGTTTCATTTCAATACCAGCATATAACCATGAAAACATATATCAACAATGCTGCTTTTAAGATGACAATGCTTTAATTATCAACAGAAAAAATAACCACATGGATATCATACACAATATCAGTTATACATACCTTGCAAAAGTTTAGTTTGTAGAGTTTGCACCAGATCTGCCATTCTCATGCCCTCGGGTTTATATACACAGAAATAACCGTGTAAATTCCTCAGGGCATGCTCTCCCGATTTAAATTTGAAAGGCATTGCGTGTTTACTCAGAAACTCGATGTCACGGACAGCAAGAAATCATTTTGTATTCTGAAATCGTAAGATAAGGACTTATGATGTTAATCACAAAATTAAAATGTCTTTATGGTAACAGTCTGTAAAAGTGTTATACCACATTCGACCGCGTGTAATTATTGTTACTCACAAAATCAACTGACTTTCTCACTTTGACATGTGCTTTCCCGTCTTCTTGTCTTCATAAGAGTTGAAAGAAGGGAGATAACTAATCTAATGTCTCGAAATAATATAGATTATTTCTTATTTATAAAAGTGGGAAATTTTGAAGTTATGCGTTTTTCGGTTTGGAAAATGAATTGTCAGCGGCTATGCAAGGAGATATACATATTAAAGTTAGTTAATATTTATACTGTGTTTCTGTAATGGAAAGGAGTGATCAAAATAGCATCCTGTCCGCCAGTTCTACAATGCAACATTCACGGAAAGGACACCACCACACGCGACATTTTTCTCATTTTTAATGTACATTCATTGCTCAAATTATTTCCGTTCATCGATCAGAGGCCTGAATAACAAAAACAAAACAAAAATGTTTAAGAGAAACTTTTGACCGTTGACTATATGTAGCAGGATGTCGTTTCTAAATTTGTCTTCACCAAGTACTTGTTCAATAGCACTACTAGATAAATTTATTGGAGTTTTAAGGGTAACTGCCAGTAACGTGATACAAACTAAACCTAATGTCTTATATTCGAGTAGGAACTTATCTGATATCTTGTGTGATTTATTCGGTTTTTTAGCTCGTGCAGAACTAATAGAACAGATTGACAATGACATAAACAAAACCAAAAACAAAACAAAAACAAAACTTTATCAATTAATTCTCGTTGTGATGGGAGAGTTTTCTTTGTTTACCTGATTACATTCCGTCGGCAAGAATGTATAACGAAACACTTTGGTAAAGTAAGCGTCGGTTCACTGAATCGTGCTCGTGGCGAATAATATTTAAACAGTATAGGCTTCTTTAATCCGAATTCATCTGAATTTGATTTGTGTATCTATAAGTAAATATATCGCAACAGATACCTTGATTTGTATTGGGTGCCACTTTAGTATTCATTTACAAAATGTAATATCATTAATTCAAATTGTTGATATCATTTGCGCATTCGAGTTAACCCATGTAATCTAGACACCTTGTTTTACGTCAACAGTGGTCCTCCTCAGTCCGAATGAACATTCAGTTCTAAGAAAAATAAATCAGCACTGCTGCTCGCTCCCATTGAATTACAACATTACGTGATTAACTGATGAATTGTCACAGCTCCTGAAATCATTGCATCAAGTAAAATTGGATTTATTTGTTTTCTTATACTTTTTCATACGTGTGATATAACCTTGTGTCATCGCCGGTATAGGGTTTAGGGTTAAGACTCCTCGCCCCTCCCCCTCCCCTTCCCTAACTTGTGACATAACAGAATGGGAGAACAACAATATTTGTTAAACGGGTTTTACGACCACTACTACGGACTTTCAGTGGACATATACTTGCTCATGCCTTTGGGTGTGACACAGGGGGATCTCAATGCTCGGGTTAAAATTATTAACCTTCCACGATATTAACCTGACAGACACCCGCCAAAATTTCGTGTTTGTCCATTTGAAAAACTTACCCCACCGAATGAGATTTTCTTATCTCAATTCCAGTCTCCAGTTTATTTCGATTTTATTACATTGTTTACACGTAACTTTTAAGCGAAATATTTTTCTCACCGTCAAGTAACTAATTACATGTACTTTGAAATGAGAAATAAAATGGTTTACCCCAACTCTGATAAATTCGGGTAACAGAGAAAAGTTGTATCTAGCTTTGATGACTTGCTACCCGGAAGAAACATGCCTAGCTAGTCATACACATAACACTGAGAAAGCAGCTTGTCTTAATGTAAACACAAGAGTAATCTATACACATATGTGCGTCACGCTATATAAAACACACACAATGTCCATCAAGTGTACTTGCTTTAAATCTAGCCCATATATATATAAACTTCCTGGTACAGAAACTTCACTTAGTAAATGGAACTCCAGTTACTTGTATGATTGATGATGGATTAACGAAACGTCAATTTGTGTCGTTTTTGGTCCTGGCTACAGACTTATTCATCAGGAAAAGGTACGTTATTTTACATATATATTTATAACTGTTTGCTTATTATAATAACATGACAAAGAAGGCCAGAATGTCTCACAGTTGAGTTGTGTCTGTTTATAACTGTTGTCAAATACGTATTGGGCTGTCGAGTACGCTACTCTACCATCTATACAGCTGTTTACTTATAACGTAACACTGACTAAATCAAAAACAAAACAAAAACCAAGGAAAATAAAAAACAAAACGTGTAGGGTGAGGGTTAGGGAGGCGGTCGGGTAGGGTATGTGTAGGGGAGGTGTAGAGATGAGATTGGTCATGGTACGTGTAGGGTGAGGGTTAGGGAGGCGGTCGGGTAGGGTATGTGTAGGGGAGGTGTAGAGAGGAGATTGGTTATGGTATGTGTACGGTGAGAGTTAGGGAGGCGGTCGGGTAGGGTATGTATAGGGGAGGTGTAGAGAGGAGATTGGTTATGGTACGTGTAGGGTGAGGGTTAGGGAGGCGGTCGGGTAGGGTATGTGTAGGGGAGGTGTAGAGATGAGATTGGTCATGGTACGTGTAGGGTGAGGGTTAGGGAGGCGGTCGGGTAGGGTATGTGTAGGGGAGGTGTAGAGAGGAGATTGGTTATGGTACGTGTAGGGTGAGGGTTAGGGAGGCGGTCGGGTAGGGTATGTGTAGGGGAGGTGTAGAGAGGAGATTGGTTATGGTACGTGTAGGGCAAGGGTTAGAGAGGCGGTCGGGTATGTATAAGGGAGATGTAGATAGGTAATCGGGTAGGGAACGTGTAGGGGTGGTGCAAAGAAGTGGTACGTGTAGGGGAGGTGTAGAAAGGAGACAGAGTAGGGTACATGTAGATGAGGTGTAGGGACGAGACAGTGTAGGGTAAATGTTGGGGAGGTGTAGAGAGGAGGTAGGGTAAATGCTGGGGAGGTGTAGAGACGAGACAGAGTAGGGTAAATGTAGGGGAGGTGTAGGGACGAGACAGTGTAGGGTAAATGTTGGGGAGGTGTAGAGACGAGACAGAATAGGGTAAATGTTTGGGAGGTGTAGAGACGAGACAGAGGAGCGTAAATATTGGGGAGATATGGTGAGGTTGTTGGGTAGAGTTCGGGTAAGGAAGGTGTAGTAAGGGGATGAGGAAGGATACGTGTAGAGAGGCTGTGGAGAAGAGATAGGGTAGCGTTCGTCTAACGGTTGTAGGTGTAGAGAATCGTGCGTAGACAATGTGTAAGAGTAGCTATTGTACCGATAGTAAGAGGTACTGATCAAATTTTAAAGAATAGAAGATGGCTGCTGTGGAATTTAAATATGAGCAATCGTTAAGACTGCCTTATGTTGCCTACATTTATAAATACAAAAATCTGTTCGGGTATTCCCAGTTATTGCCTTTCTTTACATTTACAAAATCTACAATTACAGTTTGTATACATGATTGATAGACACGAGTCCTCAGATTTCAAGTTGATTTTAGATACTCCACGCCCACTCCATGACTTATTTCGTTCCGGTACAATCAATTTATAAGAATTAAATAATTCGTGATATCATAAGGCCACTCTCCGTTACAAAGTGCTGTTCCTTCCGCTTACACAACAATGGGTTTCCCCACTCTCCCACCACCCGTCAACTCCACCCATGCTTCTCCTTCCCTATCCCCCTTCCCACTCCCCCTCTTGTTTCGCCCTATGCTCCCCCAACCCTTTTCCACTTCACCCGCCCTACCCTCACACCTTCCCCGCTTCTCCCGTCATATCCTTACATCCTCCCCTTGCTTCTCCTGCCCTAACCACACACCCCTTACCGCTTCATCCGCCCTAACCTCACACCCCTTCTCGCTTTATCCGTCCTAACCCCACACCCTTTCCCGATTTATCCATCCTAACCCCTCACCCCTTCCCGATTTATCCGTCCTAACCTCACACCCCTTCCCGCTTCATCCGTCCTAACCTCACACCACTTCCCGCTTCATACGCCCTAACCTCACATCCCTCCCCGCTTATCCCACCCTAACATCACACCATCCCTGCTTCTCCCACCCTAACATCACACCATCCCCGCTTCTGCTACCCTAACCCGACACCCCTTCCCGCTTCACCCTCTCCATCAATGTAATACATGCACACTTCAAAATAGACGGAAACTTGTCTTGTGACTAAGTCACATATAGGACACCAGTTAAATTTAAATGTATGGGATTTATTTAGCTAGACTTCAGTGGCCGTGCAGATAGATCATGTCACAATGTAAATAGGTATTAGATAATTAAGGAGGGAGATGGGACCAATGCAAACACAGCACGTAATTAGTAACATGATCGTACATAAGAAACATTTAAGATATAACTCCTGTATAGTTGGGAATTTGTTCCGCGAATACAAAACATATTAATATAAATGGCGCGAAATGAAATGCCCAGCGAATGTTGCTCAAATAGCTCCCGTGAACTTGCCAAACTTATCACAACCTCGAATTATTATTCCCACGATATCTAAAAATCATACAATATTATTTCGTTGTCAGATATATAAAAATACATAGCAATATCACATAATCTAAATGATTTGCAGCCTTAGTTACCCGTGTAACCAGTTACCTGATAACTGGTCACGTGTTCACTTAACGCTCAGTTAGTCTTCTCATTTAGTATTTGATAAAGCATTATATGATTAAGTATGATAATCAAATCCTGATTTATAAATACTAAACAATGAAAATAAATATGATAAGATATTATCCTGGATTTAATATACATAATTGTAGTTGTAGAAGACAAGACACTGCTCAATGGATGAAGTAAATATCTCTTACCTAGCAATTCGTTTATGTGCTCTGCTGAACAACAACTTGAACAGAGCATTTTTTTCTTTACAAATACGATATGTGGTACTGTTATCTATGTCTCTACTAGATGACAATTTAATGTTTAACGTCGGAACGAGGAATACCTATTTGTTTATCATCGTGTATCAGTACAATATATAATCCCGTCTCCGTGTATCGTTATAATCTGCAAACTCGCCATCGTGTATCAGTACAATATAATCCCGTCTCCGTGTATCGTTATAACCTATAAACTCGCCATCGTGTATCAGTACAATATATAATTCCGTCTCCGTGTATCGTTATAACCTATAAACTCGCCATCGTGTATCAGTACAATATATAATCCCGTCTCCGTGTATCGTTATAGTCTATAAACTGGCCATCGTGTATCAGTACAATATATAATCCCGTCTCCGTGTATCGTTATAGTCTATAAACTCGCCATCGTGTATCAGTACAATATATAATCCCGTCTCCGCGTATCGTTATGATCTATAAACTCGCCATCGTGTATCAGTACAATATATAATCCCGTCTTCGTGTATCGTTATAATCTATAAACTCGCCATCGTGTATCAGTACAATGTAACCCCGTCTCCGTGTATCGTTATTATCTATAAACTCGCCATCGTGTATCAGTACAATATATAATCCCGTCTCCGTGTATCGTTATAATCTGCAAACTCGCCATCGTGTATCAGTACAATATATAATCCCGTCTCCGTGTATCGTTATAATCTATAAACTCGCCATCGTGTATCAGTACAATATATTATCCCGTCTCCGTGTATCGTTATAATCTGTAAACTCGCCATCGTGTATCAGTACAATATATAATCCCGTCTCCGTGTATCGTTATAATCTATAAACTCGCCATCGTGTATCAGTACAATATAACCCCGTCTCCGTGTATCGTTATAACCTATAAACTCGCCATCGTGTATCAGTACAATATATAATCCCGTCTCCGTGTATCGTTATAATATATAAACTCGCCATCGTGTATCAGTACAATATATAATCCCGTCTCCGTGTATCGTTATAATCTATAAACTCGCCATCGTGTATCAGTACAATATATAATCCCGTCTCCGTGTATCGTTATAATATATAAACTCGCCATCGTGTATCAGTACAATATATAATCCCGTCTCCGTGTATCGTTATAATCTATAAACTCGCCATCGTGTATCAGTACAATATATAATCCCGTCTCCGAGTATCGTTATAGTCTATAAACTCGCCATCGTGTATCAGTACAATATATATCCCCGCCTCCGTGTATCGTTATAGTCTATAAACTCGCCATCGTGTATCAGTACAATATAACCCAGTCTCCGTGTATCGTTATAATCTGTAAACTCGCAATCGTGAATTAATTTCACTGTTATCAGGTGTTGATAATGTTTGCACCCTTGAAACACATATAGCTGTGATTGCTATTTGACTTCCTGCCTGATAGTGCGCTTCAGAATCAAAAATGTTGATTAATATTTCATGATATCTGCTGTTACTTATCTGTGGAAAACCGGATCAAACTCTAAAGTACATTCATTATCAACGACTATAAAACATGGTATGCATCTCTCGAGTAGTTTGCCCACCACTTCTTACATTAGAGATGTATAACTGAATTAGTGTTTTTATGTTATTGTTTACCGAGAGAAAATTAAGTATTTAATTTAGGACACCCATCATGGCCAGACTCATAACTAGAACACCAAATTCTGATTAGAATTTGAATATGACTGTTTACTGCACCACGATAAATGTTCGATCACCATTGTACGATCCTTAGTGGACGTAAGTTTGAACTTTTGTCTTATTCGCTACAGCTTTTTATTTGTGTGTGTGACTTATGAATGAATCAAGTATCAAAATTAGTGAAAAAGTAAAACGTACCTATAAAGTTTGAATCGATCGACCTAGTAACAATTTATATAGATGTGGATATGATTATCTGTCATTCTCTTAAGTTTAATGACACAACAAAGGGAAGCTTCACGTTAGATTTAAGATCCATTTATATACAGGAAATAGCTTACAGGCTATATAACTTTGCTAATCCAAAATGTCCGTGAATCGGCCATTTTGCCCCACTACTTCGACAAAAGGGTAATGGTTAAGTACAGTAGAGATGATGTTGAATAATTGCTAAGCGCAGTGAGAAATATTTTAATAGGATGATTGATTGATGTAGGATGTCATACACACACATTACACAACCACACACGAGTGCCGTCAACTGAAACCGGACTTAAGGCAAACTTTCGAGAAATATGACTCATAGAAAATTTAAGGTCGCGAACCATTACAAATGTACTAGACTGACAACAACCTATCATAACAATTAAAACATTTCTGTATCATGATTTAGTGATATTTGATATTTCTCATATTGTACATAACTTTCGTAAGTGATATTGACGAACATAAATTTCAATACTTTATCTCTATCACAAGAAGTCTAGTTATTGTTCGATTTTATCTCTATTTTAAATGTTATCGTGTCAATCATTATAGTTTTCTTTTTACAAAAACAAGAAGAAAATTCCGACACGACAACAAAATCGTAATTCAAACGCAACACGAGGACGAACTGGATGGAAAGTTTCCCGCGGAAATTTAATTTATCAATTATCTCGTTCGTGTTTTCACCCTTTATTCATTTATGTGATTTATCAGACGAGTAGGGGAAGGAATGTAATTTTTTATTACATCTAACCTTATTTGATTTGGTTCAATTTATATTTTTATTTGTCTTTGTAAGAGTGTAAACACACAAACATAACAAAACTGATCTTCTAATCTAAAACCCATTTTTTTTTATAGGATGTGGATTTTCTCGTGAGATGCCTAGCACGTGCATGATGTCGGCCAGCAAACTTCCGCCGCCTCTCCCTGCCCGGGGGAACCTTCCTCCAATACGTAAAGGGGGGCAACTCAACCGTACTAGTTCCGCTATTGGGAGACCCTTACCTACACCCCCGAAGGAGGAGTCTTCAATATACAACAATGCACAAACGTTGCCAAGTAGAAATAAAAAGTCACCTGTTATAAATTATGAAAATCATGAAATTGGAATGACTAAAATAAAATCATTACCAGCAGAAGTGAGCAAAATGACTGTAGAAAGTGCCCCTCCCCCACCACCGAGTCGTCCTCCAAAGCGTCATAGTGTATCCAACCCAGGGACAGGATCACCAACTAATACTACTGCGATCCCATCCACGGGTGGTCTAGACACACCCCCAGCTTTACCGAGCCGAGGGCCCCCACGAAGACCTTCCACTACGGCCCTGCCATCACCTCGAAGTGGGCAATGTAAGTATATATATATATACACGCATATTATTTGTTTAGTAGTTTAACATAGTTAGTTTTCAAAAGTCTCAATAGTTCTGCCTAGTTGATGGTCTAGTCTCGTCTAACTTTCTGTAGTTCAGCCTGGTTTTTCAGTGATTCAGCCTCGTTGATGGAGTAGTCTCACCAAATTTCCTGTAGTGCATCTCTTTGGTCGAATTTCTCATATAAAGTTTCAGTGATTTAAATAAGTTGGTGGCTGTGTTTCTACGACTGTGTTTCTCTAAAAGTCCAGTAGCTCATCAAATTAGGAAGCTGTGTCTCTCCTAAAGTCCAGTAGTTCATCACAGTATGGAGCTATGTCTCTCATAAAGTCTAGTAGCTCATCAAAGTATGGAGCTGTGTCTCTCCAAATGTCCAGTAGTTCATCAAGGTAGGGAGCTGTGTCTCTCCTAAAGTCCAGTAGTTCATCACAGTATGGAGCTGTGTCTCTCATAAAGTCTAGTAGCTCATCAAAGTAGGTAGCCGTGTCTCTCTTAAAGTCTAGTAGTTCATCAAAGTAGGAAGCTTTGTCTCTCTTAAAGTCTAGTTGTTCATCAAAGTAGGATGCTGTGTCTCTCATAAAGTCTAGTAGTTCATCAAAGTAGGAAGCTGTGTCTCTCTTAAAGTCTAATTGTTCATCAAAGTAGGAAGCTGTGTCTCTCCTAAAGTCCAGTAGCTCATCAAAGTAGGATGCTGTGTCTCTCCAAATGTCCAGTAGTTCATCAAAGTAGGAAGCTGTGTCTCTCCTAAAGTCTAGTAGTTCATCAAAGTAGGAAGCTGTGTCTCTCATAAAGTCCAGTAGTTCATCACAGTATGGAGCTGTGTCTCTCCTAAAGTCTAGTAGTTCATCAAAGTAGGAAGCTGTGTCTCTCTTAATGTCTAGTTGTTCATCAAGGTAGGTAGCCGTGTCTCTCATAAAGTCTAGTTGTTCATCAAAGTAGGAAGCTGTGTCTCTCATAAAGTCTAGTTGTTCATCAAAGTAGGTAGCCGTGTCTCTCCTAAAGTCCAGTAGTTCATCAAAGTAGGATGCTGTGTCTCTTCTAAAGTCTAGTAGTTCATCAAAGTAGGATGCTGTGTCTCTCCTAAAGTCCAGTAGTTCATCACAGTATGGAGCTGTGTCTCTCCTAAAGTCTAGTTGTTCATCAAGGTAGGAAGCTGTGTCTCTTCTAAAGTCTAGTAGTTCATCAAAGTAGAATGCTGTGTCTCTCATAAAGTCTAGTAGCTCATCAAAGTAGGTAGCCGTGTCTCTCCTAAAGTCCAGTAGTTCATCAAAGTAGGATGCTGTGTCTCTCCTAAAATCTAGTAGTTCATCAAAGTAGGATGCCGTGTCTCTCTAAAGTCCAGTAGTTCATCAAAGTAGGATGCTGTGTCTCTCCTAAAGTCCAGTAGTTCATCAAAGTAGGAAGCTGTGTCTCTCCTAAAGTCTAGTAGTTCATCAAGGTAGGTAGCCGTGTCTCTCCTAAAGTCTAGTTGTTCATCAAAGTAGGATGCTGTGTCTCTCATAAAGTCTAGTAGCTCATCAAAGTAGGTAGCCGTGTCTCTCCTAAAGTCCAGTAGTTCATCAAAGTAGGATGCTGTGTCTCTCCTAAAGTCCAGTAGTTCATCAAAGTAGGATGCTGTGTCTCTCATAAAGTCTAGTAGTTCATCAAAGTAGGATGCTGTGTCTCTCTTAAAGTCTAGTTGTTCATCAAAGTAGGAAGCTGTGTCTCTCATAAAGTCTAGTAGCTCATCAAAGTAGGAAGCTGTGTCTCTCCTAAAGTCTAGTAGTTCATCAAAGTAGGATGCTGTGTCTCTCTAAAGACCAGTAGTTCATCAAAGTAGGATGCTGTGTCTCTCTTAAAGTCTAATTGTTCATCAAAGTAGGATGCTGTGTCTCTCCAAATGTCCAGTAGTTCATCAAAGTAGGAAGCTGTGTCTCTCCTAAAGTCTAGTAGTTCATCAAAGTAGGAAGCTGTGTCTCTCATAAAGTCCAGTAGTTCATCACAGTATGGAGCTGTGTCTCTCCTAAAGTCTAGTAGTTCATCAAAGTAGGAAGCTGTGTCTCTCTTAATGTCTAGTTGTTCATCAAGGTAGGTAGCCGTGTCTCTCATAAAGTCTAGTTGTTCATCAAAGTAGGAAGCTGTGTCTCTCATAAAGTCTAGTTGTTCATCAAAGTAGGTAGCCGTGTCTCTCCTAAAGTCCAGTAGTTCATCAAAGTAGGATGCTGTGTCTCTTCTAAAGTCTAGTAGTTCATCAAAGTAGGATGCTGTGTCTCTCCTAAAGTCCAGTAGTTCATCACAGTATGGAGCTGTGTCTCTCCTAAAGTCTAGTTGTTCATCAAGGTAGGAAGCTGTGTCTCTTCTAAAGTCTAGTAGCTCATCAAAGTAGGTAGCCGTGTCTCTCCTAAAGTCCAGTAGTTCATCAAAGTAGGATGCTGTGTCTCTCCTAAAATCTAGTAGTTCATCAAAGTAGGATGCCGTGTCTCTCTAAAGTCCAGTAGTTCATCAAAGTAGGATGCTGTGTCTCTCCTAAAGTCCAGTAGTTCATCAAAGTAGGAAGCTGTGTCTCTCCTAAAGTCTAGTAGTTCATCAAGGTAGGTAGCCGTGTCTCTCCTAAAGTCTAGTTGTTCATCAAAGTAGGATGCTGTGTCTCTCATAAAGTCTAGTAGCTCATCAAAGTAGGTAGCCGTGTCTCTCCTAAAGTCCAGTAGTTCATCAAAGTAGGATGCTGTGTCTCTCCTAAAGTCCAGTAGTTCATCAAAGTAGGATGCTGTGTCTCTCATAAAGTCTAGTAGTTCATCAAAGTAGGATGCTGTGTCTCTCTTAAAGTCTAGTTGTTCATCAAAGTAGGAAGCTGTGTCTCTCATAAAGTCTAGTAGCTCATCAAAGTAGGAAGCTGTGTCTCTCCTAAAGTCTAGTAGTTCATCAAAGTAGGATGCTGTGTCTCTCTAAAGACCAGTAGTTCATCAAAGTAGGATGCTGTGTCTCTCCTAAAGTCTAGTAGTTCATCAAAGTAGGATGCTGTGTCTCTCTAAAGTCCAGTAGTTCATCAAAGTAGGATGCTGTGTCTCTCCTAAAGTCCAGTAGTTCATCAAAGTAGGTAGCCGTGTCTCTCTTAAAGTCTAGTAGTTCATCAAGGTAGGAAGCTGTGTCTCTCATAAAGTCCAGTAGCTCATCAAAGTAGGATGCTGTGTCTCTCTAAAGATTCAACAGTTCATCAAAGTAGCTGGATTGGTCTTTAAAAAGTTTCAGTAGTTCATCATAGAAAAAGCTGTATCTCTTAAAAATGTTGAATATTTCCGTGTAGCTTAACGCACTGGAATATCCCTTACTTAAGTTGTCTCCGAGATCGTCTCTTTAAGGACAATGTTTTGACAGGAAGAAACAACAATCAACTTCAATATATCCGATAAGATCTTATTTTTATCTTAACATACAATATCTGCTATGACGTCACACCTGTGAACTTGGATGTATCAGAAAACTTATATCGCGATATCTAGGGGGTATAAGAACAACAGACCAGACAAACAGTGGGGCATTGTTCTGTCTCCACCTTCACTTGTTAACGATATGATCCTGCAGACAACATTAAACTTCCAATGCTACCATTGTGTTTATATATATATATATATATATATATATAATACTGCTATGTAGGTATAATTATGTTTACCTATATTGTACATGTATTTTAGAATTATTATCTTTTTTTCGTTATAATTTTCAATGTGTACAGAGATGCATGATTAACAGTTACATTTTGGAGGGGTTATCTCAAAAGTCCTTTTCTAGGGCCTGGGATGCAGCAAACCAAATTTTGGACAAAAACATGTAATTTCTGCATTGGAAGGGTTTTTAAGAAAATGGATGTTAATCACATTTAAGCCCAGTCGTCTATTCAACATATTACACCCTGTCCCTTTAGTGCCACGGACCGAGACCCTCCATATTGTATGAAATTGGTTCCCTCTTACCCCAAAGATACTTCCGACCAAAACATCATCAGAAGAATTGCAAAGAATGTGTTATATGCCAAATGGACCTCTTCCCACTGGCCTTATGGGGCCGAAAATCTCTCTCTCTATATATAATCGATACCCTTTCCACACCAATAAATACTGCGGCTAAAATCAGGTGAAAATACGTAGTTTAAAGCTACTCCTTTATTTCACATATTGGGCCCCGTCCCTCAGGCCTCGTTTATCCTCGCCCAAAGATGTTTCTAGCAACATATAGTCGAAAACCCACCCAGTCGTTCATGACTAGATGTGATTTTATGAAAAGAAATTGACGTTCAGACGAAAGACGCCGCTCAATGCCACAATGCCCGTCAGTCCATCCTTCTCAAAGAACATGTATAGTCTTTCTTGGTATTCTTCCGGAACTGGCAAAGAATTGAACAAGGTCTGTCAGATCGAATTTGAATATGTATGCAATAATGCAACTCAAAATTACGGCCTGGATAATAATGAGTAGTTAACCCCTCTTAACTTCATACATAATAAGGAAAGATTTCCATCAATATTTTTATGGCAACCAGAACCTGTTCTTTAGTTCAATAACGAACCTGTTGTAGTCTCTCCCGTCACCTGTCGAGACCTACAGTAACAATATAACTAACTGCGAAATCCAGACATCATAGGTTGGCTATGCCGAATTTCACAAAGGAATTGAAATCACGCTTTCTTACAGCTTGTTGAAAAACTGTCACTTTTGAGGTACAAAAGCGGCTTAATTCGGGTTCTGGAGGGCTATTTCGATGAACTTAGCCAATAAAGTTTGGTATTTTCAGAGTACCTCTTGGACACTAATTCAGTCCATGTTTTATGATCGTCACAGTAAAAGTGTATGTCGAAATAGCACTGTTGATAACCACATACACTGATGTTTAATTGGTGACGTATTTTGTTGTTTACAGCCTCTGATCTGGAGTCCAGATTTCCATTTCACGATGAAAGTAGCTTCCCTCCTCCTGAACAATTTACCAATGACCATAAAGCATATGCCAGTAGGAAAGGTAAGTGTATACAGACGAAAAAAGGTAAAGAAAATATTTATTGATTGGTTTCGAATTCAGTCAATTTTAACGTGTAGTATTTTCGTTGTTAATTAAAGGTATTGAAATAGGAGAAAGAAATACAATCTTGACTTGCAGTAAGCCAAGTTTTGAAAATGAACCCATTTTTTTCATTTGCAGGTCCTAAAAGAAGAAAATCGCCGGATTTGCCTCCCATGTGAGATCACGTTCCATTGAATGTTTATTTCTCGTGTTGATTTATTTACGTTGGAAGCGAGGGGCGGAGCATTTTCATGTCCGTACGGAAACCACCACGGATTTGGTTTCTTCATGTTCAAATCAAGGACATCAGGGCAAAGTATCTAATTCTTGTACCGACACAAGAGATAAATGTGGCTTCCGTGTATAAAGAGTTACAAGGGACAACAGGATCAAATAACAGTAGACATTGTGGAAGTGTTTACAATGTGTTATTCCGATACTGGCTTGTGATTATTATTCACCCAAAATATATAAAATACTCGTTATATTCGGGACGACTGATTATTTCAAATCCATGGTGTATTATTACAAGGTGCGATTTATTTTTATAGAGCTTTTGAATAATTTTGATTTTGACACGCGAGTTGGCTTGTTTTTATGGTCGTCATGTCTTTGGAAACAGTATTTATATAACTCATCGATTTGCACTTAAAGATTGTCAGAAAACCTTATAATTCCAACACATTAAAGAGTGTGACTATGGGATGCTTTTCCAGCAACAGCTATCCGTCAATAATTTAATATCTCTGTGGTTGGCTACTGTATAAATCCAGACAGGTACATGTGACACAACCATTGTTTGTAAGTTTGTGTCGATTACCTGTTAAACATTGAACTATTGTTGGTTTCAAAGATATTACCGGTGTAGGAGAGTTCCAATCCATTCAGTTTGATATTGGATATACATGTTGTCAACCTCCTCGTCCTAAGGTCTAGACTGCATGTGGTTTTTTTTTTTAATTCGTTCATTTTGAATTGCATGTTATTGAATCCAGTATTAACATAATATTAATGCTTGTTACTAAAAATGTTTAGGATGAGTTTCTGCTCAACGATTAATTGGCTTTTTTATCAAACATGAGTACATATTTATAAATACAACTGACTGCAATAAAAACTGATCGGGTTTACCATTGTAAAATAAGAAACACAAGAGACATCAAAGCTGTGTTGTGGATTGCCCTTTCGATGTTGAACCCTCTTAAGTACGTATGAATACTTAAACGGAAATAGTTATATAAGGTACCGGGATGGAATACTTGATAAATATATCAGCGAATAGTCTCGAAAACAGTCCAGTCACGTAAACACTGCAGGAAAATGAAAAAAAAAACGCCCACAAATTTGTAGAGACCCTTTAAGATATGAAGATGTAAGTAAACCGATCAAAAAATATTTCCTTCAGTTCGGGGCACTAATTTTAAATATTTCTTGTACTATTTTGTCGAAGACACTGGTAGCTTGTCGTCACCAGATACGTAAAGCACAGGATTTAAAAGTTTACATACTTTGTATTATACACAATATGAAACGGAGGTTTTCGTTGTCGATCACATTTTAGATACGTAGAGCACAGGATTTAAAAGTTTACATACTTTGTATTATACACAATATGAAACGGAGGTTTTCGTTGTCCATCACATTTTAGATCGGGACTTCGTATATGCTTTAACTCCCCCCCCCCCCACCTCATGTTTATACGTGATTGTATATATCCGTAACTAGCTCAAATATTCTGTTCCTCTCGAACTTGCGATAATCAACATGAAAAAATGTTTTCAAAATGAAACCGCAGACAATTTGGTCCAAAATTATTGTCAATGAATATGATTTACATAAGGGGTGTCGTCGAAGCAGAAGGCACCTACTCTTCCGGAACACATTGTCTTATTCTCTTTGTACTTTTTCACAAGTCTCCGTGTAAATCTTTGTTTCTATTTTTCCCTAGTTGGATTATGATGATGTGGACATTTTAGTATTTTCTTGCTTTTTTTCTGACCAGGTCTCCAATTTTTGAACAGAACTCTTATGTGTAATGTTGACACTATTTAGAGGTCTCTTAGCATCGAAAAGACAAATATATGTATGCTTCATATTTTTGCAGGCCGGTTATTTCAGAATTAAATAGTTACACGTTTTGAGAGTTTTGCTGTTTAAAGCTTTGTCACAATTTTGTTAAATAGGGTTATCATTGAAGGAACTGTTCTTTACCATTCTTTACATCGGATGTGGACATAACGATATTTATATCAGCTTGAACGTCATTGATTAAAATATTTCATAAAATATTGAAAATCCGTGACCGATCAAATGTTTTGATTGGTGACTAGGGTATACATGACACACATTGGGATTTGATATGGCCCCTGTAAATCAGCTTTGTGAACACCTACATTAAACTATATATAATATTATGACTAAGTGCGAGAGAGCAGTTCTGTGTATTAAAACATGCCAATGAAATATGTTTGTTTCATCACTCTGAACCATGACCGCTAAACAAGGAAGTGATATTTTGAGGAGCATGTCACTGAATGCATTAATTAATCTGATTAGAAACCTATATAACAATGTGCTATTAAGATCTCTAGTCTCTCTTGTGTACACAAAAAGAGGCCCAATGAGCCTGCATGCTTATCTGGTATTCAATGTCCACCAAATGTAGAACTGGGATTAATATCACAAATATATTGACCACTGGCATTCAAAGTGAGCACATCCAATCAATTTTAACCAATTTCCACTACAAACAGCTTCTACTTATCACCTGTGTGGGTTATCACCTGGATTTTAAGTAAATGCCAGCTCTTTTTTATGAAATTTGTTGGGCTATGACCTAAAAAACTTTTCAACCAAATATCCTGCTTCTGGCACTTTTGGCTTACTAGAAATAGTCTTTTAAGGTTCAACAAATTCAATCCCTGTGACCTTCAATATGGGTTAAGGTAATTTCTTTTTGCAAACATTGTCAGGCATTATACTAGGGGACTGATCAGAGGAATGTGCTTCTAGTTAGTCAGGAGAAGTTGTATTAAGAGTCTAGGTAATTTCTTTTAGCAAACTTTTTTGGGCTTCATTCCAGCAACCAACCAGCCAAATAACATGACATTTGACCTGCTGGTTATGAGAAGAATTTGTTTAAATGGAAAAGTTAATGCGGGACAGAACAATAGACCTTCAGGCCAGGTGAGCTTACAAAACCAGAAACATTTGATCTGTTCCGAACCTCAATAATAACAAAACCCCAAAGGCTTTAATTTAGGTCATTTTATTACTGTGAATGAAATGCGAGTATATTATTTGTTCATCTTTCTACAACATGGTAAGAAGAGATTTGAAAGGGAAGTTACTATGTTACAATGTACAGAAATAAATAATAAACCAGTTAATATCAGTGAGTGGAAACAGGACCAGAAATTGAGGTTGGAATGGCAACAGTGGTTACACACTAGAAAAGCACTACAGCTCATTAAAACACAAAGTATTCTATATTACTGCAGAAGTCACAGGGAGCAAAGAGGCTTCATCTCACCCTTAGTACTCAGTACTGAATTATTACAATTTTGATTTTGTATATTTTTTGTGCAGAGATGATCTCCCCTTGATGTGTTTATGTCTTAAGTTTATTACAGGCACATTATAAAGGAGACATCATGTACACTTAAATTAGAAACCACTAGATTTGAGCACCACCCTATCATTGCTAGGCAGGTTTACTAGGAATAATATAGGAATAATTTCATTGACAGAATGAATGACTTCCTCATGAAGTATACACACCCCACATATTCACATACATGTATGCCTCCAGAAGTGTTGGCAAGGAACAGTTAGAAACAGACATGCCTAGAAATGTCCACAAAGTTTAATGGTTCATACAGCCTGTAGTCCAGTGACAAAGCACATCACTTTCACACATTTAATCTCGGAGTAAGAACACATTCACCACATTACCAAACAACATGCTCATGGAACCTTAAATCAGAACAACCTTCTCCTAACTACTTTACAGTTTACCTGTATTATTGCTCATCTGAGGAACTGTTCAGTTTCTCAGAAATAACTTACTTCAGGTCTACATCGAGGAAATGGATTCGGGCAAGGAAAAAACACTGAGACAGGAAAATGGCAAGAAATTCAATCTTCAGTTAGTTTCCAAAGCATCAATTATTAAGCAAAAGTTAAAGCAAAATGCATGTACAACAAAATTCAACAGTTATAAAATTAATTGTATACAACAAGGCCACCAGCTAGAGATATGTTTTAACTTATTAGATTCACTTCAGGCAAACATCTGTTGAATTTCTCACAGATGGACATACACACAAAATAATGAATTAAAGATGCATATGAACACTAATAAATTATACAAACTTATGTTTAATTTTCTCTTGTCAAAGACAAAATGAGTCATGAAAATCTAATAGCATGCATGTTTTCATTGCATTTACTTCAAATAATCCTATAAAAATAAACAAAAATACAACTTAAGATGAATTGGAAATACTATTTGATGATATGAGTTGGTTATCATATCCTCTTGCTAAGCATACAGAACTTGACTTTTAACACACAAAGCAGTCTGGTATGCATTGTATTTTGGATGGACCAGCTTTTAAATTTGTACAAAAAATAAATTAATAGCACTTTAAGAACATTATGCATGCTATATTCAAAATCATTTAACATGGCACTACATTCAAAATAATAACTGACAGCTAACATGATATGAGATGCATAGTTATAAATTTTTTGTTTCATGGTGTCACATTCTCAGTATGACAGGACCAAGTTTACAATGCATATTCCTAAATCTACCCACAAATTCTCCTTCCATAATCAGGCCCTGAAAATGATCAAGGAAGAAAAAACCACGGATTGTCAGTCCTCTTGGGTTGTATTCACCATCATATCATCAATTCTGTGTACTTAAGCTACAATCAATTATATGTAAAACTCTGTTGAAAACAGCTTAACAATCAAATTGACATGCTATTTAATCAAAAAGTTAATAATTATGCTTAAGTATATAATTCCTATACCAGTTTCCCTGTCAACTTTACAATGCCCTTCATACCCTTGTCTCCAGTATGTCATACAGATTGTTAATTGGAATGTCAATCATCCCAGGTTTCACCTGCTCTATTGCTAAAACAAATACTTACATTCGTAAGTAAACCTCCTTACAATCACACTGATAAATTGGGCACAAATTGTTTTCTAAAAACAGCATGATCACAACAACCCAGTACTGGTTCACATTTCATTTGATGTGACTTACAGTGAGCCTTGAGATTCTACTATCAAACAAACTCAATTGTACAATTGCACTTTTTGTTAATTCAATAACATATTCAAACTAAAGACAGGAACAGTTTGGAGTTGTGACTTAGTGATATTCTTCCTTGTGACAACACACTGGTTGATTTGATATTGTTTAGAGTGAAGGTTAATCTTTACACTCCCAAAAGCTAGACTATATAAGATCATAGAACTATGGCTGACACCTTCACTCGCTCACCTTCTAGATAGCACAACATAAGTTCATAATAGTCGATTCCTAAACAATGACAAAATCATTGCATCAAGTCTGTCTAAAATCACGTAATGCTTGCATTTCTATCAACTATTATATTCTTGACAAGAAAACAAGCTACATTTGGAGTGGACAGGCTGGAACAATGGACATACCCATGTCCAAAGATGCCCTCTCTATTGAAGTATTCTGACATAGTATTTCAACCACATTGCTGTTGAGGTCAAAAGTTCACAACAAAATTTCGCAATAAAAATATATCTCAATTCATTACATACTTGAAAGCTTTCAATATTATTTTGACATTTACATGTATAATGCAGATTTCTTGCAATCATTTAAACAATTTGTAAATCTTCCACCTCAATAATGGCCATGTCAATGCTACATATAAACATCCTCTCATTATCTTCACACACAACCGATGACAGTGTGGCCATCTCCATGCTCACACAACACAATTTACAGGAGAAGATTTCCAGGAATTTACCTGTCAGATATCCAGGTAATAAGCAGCATGATACATAGTACAGCAATCATCAACTTGATCAGAAAATGACCCATGGTCGAACATTTTGACCTCCACCCGAAGTCCTTTTACTTTTACTGTTAAGTGGCATAGAGCTGAAAATATCTCAGAATCTGTTTTCATGTGATAAAAGTGTGAACGGTTGTCCCTCCCTTTTTCATTAGTAAAAGTTAAGTATTAGCCACGTGTGAAGTTTGCATTGGAAAATAAACAACCCAATAACTTGCGAAATGGAATTCAAACATCCCCATGTATGATGTGAAGCCAAGTAACATTTTAACAAAGCTAGCGAGATCAAACGGGCTAGTAATTTTAATAAAACTTTGCATTAGTGCTTATAATGATTGACAATCACTTCCCATAATGTTTTTTCCTAGCAACATCACCACTTTTTGTAAACCACACGTTGAGCTGCAATATTTGGTCTGAATGAATCGCATCACTAAAGGAGTTGATCATATTTCTAATTCTACAAAACAGGTCAAAATCAAGTAGACACAAGTTGCTCAGAAATTGCATGTGTTCCACAGAGAAGGTCATCTTCAATCACCTCTGGAAATGTTAGCAATATCATGCCCATGTGGACTGAACTACAGTGAAGATCTGACATTCTAATGTTCTGAAATCCATCCTCAGTACTATAATAAGTTGTAGGAGTGTTGATCCTGTCGTACTTTATTGGTAAGGTATGTGTTCCTATTTTGACACTACGTAGATTCACTGAGGTTTTATAATCCTGTTGTGCCTTCACTACACTAACTTAAGCACTATTTGGGCTGGCTCGCCTTTGTAGTGTCAGAACACATAGCAGGAAGGCATGAACAGCAGCACATCTGTCCCGTAGTTCACCCTGCTTTACTGAGGCGTACCAACCTAGGCTATAGACAGCTGACATAAAGCCTACATCACAGCACTGTGTATTTGTAGCTGCTGTAAAGTCACTTGGCTGTCATTTATAGCAGCATACACTGCAATGTGTGTTTTGAAGCGCTGTGATGAGTACTATTACAACCAGCAGACTGAATGCATGGTTAGTCTGAATACTGAGACTAAACCATAGGCTAAGCAGTGTCACTATCAATAGCTGAGCCATGGTAAGTAGGTGTCAGCACCAGTCTGCAATATAGTTAAAGTCTACGAACAGTAACTGATCCTCATTCTTTAGTGGGCGCCTTTCCTTGGCTGGCGTCAGGATTGCTTTCTCCTGGGTGAATTCGTCATCAAAATTACTTACGTCCTCCGCATGTTTCTAAAATAAACAAAAGAACACCTTCTGTCAAATGTAATTATCAAACATTTAGTGAGAGACATTGGCTAGACTTTCAACAGCCATTCAAATTATCATTACTGCTACTGCATGTGTATCTACAAAACAGGAGACTGTTCACATGTCCAGTTAGAGCAATTTTAACTAGATGAAAAAAACAATATATGTTACATGGAAAAAAATTTACACAACTACGTATGAATATGCATGATAAAAAATATTTCTAAACCACTCAACTTATATAAAACAAATCTATCGAGTACCATATCACCTTTCTCATCAACAAACAACTGATGAAATGCAGTGGTCAGAAAAAAAAATTAAACATTTTTTGTTTACTCCTTACACAATAAGGTTAATTGAGAGAAAGTGTACAGAGTATGTGGTACAACTATATATCATGCTTATTTCTATAACATCATGTTAATCACAGTCGGTACTCTTGACACTAAAAATCCTAACTACAACACATTCCATTTATTCACTCATTTTTAGGTGTGATATTTCTAAAGCCATGTAACAATTTACTTTTTCCAAGTCCTCAGATATGAATTTAAAATACTGATTTAAAAGGTCAAGATATCAGACTTCTCCATTTGAAATCATTCTAAGTAAAGGGAAGAAAGATATAGGTTATTTTGAAGTTGACCAGTAAACACTTGATGTAGGTGTAACTTGTAAAATAATGTTTTGTGTCATTATTCATGGAGTCACCAATAATAACGAGTCCATGACAAAAATAGAATGTAGTTAACGAACATCTGCAAAGGTATACTAAAACAAGACTCTGATCAGGAATACACTTTTGCCTAAAATTACTTTCAGGATAAGAGAAATGTTAACGATCATGATGTTTCACTTGAATTATATTCAAGTCTAATGTAATCATGTGATTTTACAGGGAACAGATGTACTAATACTAATACATGTGCCAAGTCATGAAATGAATGAAAGGTGTTGAAAAGGAAACAGCCAAAAGAGTGTTTCCTAAACGATAATGTGGAATCTTCAATTCTTAAAGACCTAGATATGAAAATACAGTGTACATCTAATGCATCAAAGATCTGCAATACACAAGGCCATGCTGATCTTAGCGAGGGGATCTAGCTGGAATCTACCAACTTACAAGGTATGCCTAAACCTTGCTAAACATTACAAACAGTAGAATTTTTTTTTAAGTGTTGCTAGGGAGATAAGGGTATTAAACATCCACAGCGCTCAGCTGACATTAGAGTAAACTTCTCAACACAAACATTGCAAGGGAGACAACTCAAATACATAACGGGTATCCACAAGTCACGCCATGCGGATGAACTTACAACGCTGTCAGGTTTTACTTTGTGTTTTAGGTCCAGGCTTACAGGCCTTGAGTTGCGAGACTAAAAATCAAATGAAACATCTCTATTCCAAGGTTAAATGAACTGTGGCATCCTACCTTCCTCTTTATCACAAACTTTTATCCATTTTATTTTGGTGACAAACCATTTTATATATACATTTATACAAATTCATTTTTTAAAAAATTTTATGAAACAGTTATTGGTACATCATGCTCTGAGAAAATAGAAGGGAGACGACTGCAGCGCAAAAACCAAAAACTCTTAACCTAGGAATTAGAGATATCTTTAAAGACACTTTATAAATAAAATTTGACTATAACGTGGCCCAGAACTAAATCAACTGGTTTCAGAATGACACAATAGCTGTCATAATACATAAATCATGATGTACAGCATACGTTTACAAACATCAGTTTGATTCCAAATCTAAATTACTAAAATACCTAACAAGAAGTTTGATAATGACAACAATTTTCTTTTCTTAGTGAAAGTAGGAGCCTTAATTAGCAGATCATAACCTGAGTATGCATATGTTACTAAAGAAGGAAATCACTTCAGTCGCTGACTGAAGAAGAACATAAGATGCCACTTACATTATTAGAACCTTACGGCAGGTGTTGGATGGTAAGATTAAAATCTCTGTAATATACGAGACTCACATTCTCACACACAGGGACAAAGACATCTTGCAGAATAACAAATACAGCCAGTGGCACCTACACAGCTTGCATGGGTTGTGAACAAATCTCTGGTCCTTGTTTAAGCCAAGTGATGGTTATAAATGATGTGAGGAGAGAGATTCTCAGCCATACTTACCACAGTAGGGCAGAAAGGAGGCCGCACTTTCTTCATTAGTAGGTCATCCCATACCAGGTTCTGTTAGAATAAAACACACAAAATAGCTTACTTGCTTAAGATTCTTTCTTTTATAATGTATGCATTCTTTGAAGAAATATAAAATAAATTCTAAACATCCATTTATTAGAGTAAAGAATCCTGTTTTAGTGTTTGCTTTAAGCGGAAAATTTATAAGAGAAATCAAACACTTACCCTGAAGAAGGCTTGTTTTTTGACATCTTCTGCATCCCGTTCACTAGACCCTAACCTCCGGTCTGGGTTTCTCCTCAGTAACTAAAATAGTTTCCATAAATGATCTTGGATTCATTCTTAGATATGATGCATCAGGTATCAAATATTTCTTTGGTCAGTGTTATATACTACAATATTCCTCCAAAGTTTAAATCAAAATGTTTTTTGATTGAGAACTACAAGATCGTATAAAAAAATTATCAAAAAGTTTTTTCTATCAAATTTGCATTCCGCACCTAAATAGAAATGTCTTAAGCAAATGATTGAGACCTACCCTTCTCATTATTGCAATAGCTTCTGTCGACAAGAACCTAGGGTAACGGACTTCCTCGTTCACAATACTGTCAAAAACCTCTTCTTCATCATCCCCCGGGAATGGTGACTGTTCAAATCAATTTTGAAACCGCCGTTTTAAAATCAAAACCAAACAGTTTTTCAACAATATCTCAGCTGATGAATATCATAAAAAAAATAAGTCAGGAGTTAAAAAAATCAAAGATAAATATATTTTGGGGATAGTTGCTTGAATAATAAATCAGTATTTTAGTAAGATTGATGTTAGAATACTGGGATACATCAAGGAATATTGAATTCTATTACTTGTGTACAAGTCCATCCTTTTAATCATCCATAACCTAAGCCTACAGACAAAGTACTGTAATCCACCTCACAGCTTTGAGAACTTCACATTTAAAAGCCTGTCAAACATGCCTTAATGTGCAGGCATGCTTGCTGGCTCACTTGCATTAAAATTTTTCATAAAGATAAGAATTTTGTCTGATCTCTAATTCTGTTTAAGGCAGGATTTGTATTCAAAAAATTCTAAAATTGTCATTTGTTCAAACGCATTCTTCCTGAAATTTCCCAAATATTTAACTTTTATTTTACATTCATTGTCTTCAAGTAATAATTTGATAGTCCATTTTAATCTTAGCTGATTTTGGAAACATCTAAAATTTCTATTTTTTTTTTTTAAAAAACGGATGTTATGTTCACTATTAATGCCTTTTTGTCTTACAGTGGAGGGTCCTTATAATGGATCCTGTTGCTAAAATTTTAACATAAATTAGAATTTTAATCAACTTGCCACTTAAATAAACAGTTATCTGGTAGACTTACCTCCCCAACGAGCATTTCAAATATAAGAACACCAAGTCCCCACCAGTCAACAGAGCGAGTGTATGATGTCTCTGTGAGTACCTCAGGGGCAAGAAACTCTGGCGTACCACAGAAAGTACTGGTCCTGTCACCGTATGCCATGCCCTCCTTACACAAGCCAAAGTCGGCAATCTTCAGGTATCCTTCCTGATCCAGCAGTAAGTTGTCCAGCTTTAAGTCCCTGAAACAGAGAATGTATACATCATAATGATACCAAATAATGAGTAAAGGATACCTTTTATTGACCAATTTTATTGATGTTTCAAAGCTATTCATAGGAGGGGGTTGTTAGTGTAAGGTCACGTTTGGAATGTTGAAGTATAATAAATTGTGGCTAAAAAACATGCTAATCCTAGTAAGTCCACTTCTGTGAAACAGGATAGACATGCTTAGTATGGCACATATTAAGATTTTACTTATATACCATTATCATACTCAGCTTTTCTTTGAATTCAAGTAAATAGGCAAGCACCTTTATTTACTCACCTGTAAACTATATTATGCTCATGTAAGTATTGCAGACCAAGGACTACACAACCAGCATAAAAAACAGTACGGGGCTCGGAGAAAACATCACTGTGGATATGCATCATGAGATCCCCACCACATGCATACTCCATCACAAATATCACATGTTCCTGTAAAACATACAAGATTGGTTCCAGTTTATCACTGCTAAGACAATTTAATAGTAAATCCATGCTATATAATTGCCATGTTTAGTAAATGCATGTAAAATGTCAGCGATTTACAGTGACGAATATTTCTTACAAATTGAGACAAGCTCTTCTTTTTCTGTTTTGGTTGTAGTTTTTACCAGAGCAACTGCACTTTCTCAACCACTTACCTCAGTTTGAAAGCACGCAAATAAATTAACCAGGAACGGATGCCTCATGGAATTAATAACTTCAAAAATACGTTTCTCCGACATCAAGCTTTCTACTTCATCACGTGCCATGATTTCACCTTTCTTTAAAGCTTTCAGAGCAAAATACTCATTTGACTGTTTATATTCAGCTAATATCACCTGTAAAAGGAAACAAATATCATTTCATTTTCCCTAACTTCCCTCTTAAAGTATGAGAGACACAGAAAAGTTTGAACAGATGAACACAGACATAGGCCTATAACACCAGATTTTATCAAATGTGAGGGACGCAGTAACAGACCTAAACACCAGGCTTTAGTTACCAAAAGTGATGGTTTTTGAAACCGGCCCAAACACCAGGTTTTACCAAAGTGTCATGAACAAATGAGCACAGAAACAGACCTAAACACTAGGGCTTATTTACCCATAACACTCATACTCATGTTTATCAGAAAATCTGCAGCTGATAAGATCTGTAATCTCTACCTCTTTGTTGTGTTCCAATACACAGTGTGAAAACAATTCAAAGTTATGGATGATAAAACATTTAAAATCTTCCCTTATGGATACAAGTATGTTATGTAACAGTTTTCCTCTACAAAAGATGAATTTTCTTAAGGAGATATTCAGTCAACAGAAGATATAGATTTTGATAGTAGTACGATATGATCTTATCAGCCAAATATGTCTGTAAAATTCTGTGATTATGAGCAGCAATTACCTTTCCAAAATGACCTCTGCCTAGGACACTAATGGGTCTGAAGTCATCAAATCTACAATACTGATTGGAGAAGCTGCAAAGAAACAAAATTATGTAACAGATGATAAATTCAACAAATAACAGTACACAGACTGCTTTCAAAGTTCTACCAACAATGATGATTTTAGAGTTCATAACTCGCTCAATCTATCTTTCAAAAAACTGAATTTAATTCTTTATTCCTTCATACTATAACCATCAGGTCATGCAAACTTTTCAGTGCAAAATAAACACCTGACCGTACATGTTATGGAAGTTCATAAAACAACCTCTCAGTCATGCTTTCTAAGTCTTAGTGTCTATACACTTACTCAGGTTCTCGTACAGGTACTTTTTTAATGGAAGATTTCTTAGGTGTTTCCTGCAATACTGGGGGTGGCGGAGTAGTTGGGAGGGGAGGGGGTGGTTGTGAGCTATGATAGGAGGGTATTCGCTGGGGCTGGTTTGACTCCATTGTATCACCATCCAGGTTTATCACATTGGCTGGGTTATCCTCAGGAAGAAAATTAAAAGACGATAATGCCTCCTGAAAAACAAAATATTACTATTAAAAGATAAAACAAGAGCAGGACTTGTACCATAAATAATAACCACATACTTCCATATTAAATATTTTCGACTAATATGCTGAGATACGATTTGTTGAGTGTGAGGTATACAAGTCAAACAAAAGAAAACTTGTGAAAAGACATTTGATGTTACCTGGATGTCTTTCTGTTGCTGCTGTGGGGGTGTTGCATACTGTGGGGTAGGAATGTCCCTGGTTGGGGACACTGGAGAGGGAGATTTCTCTGGTATCCGCACAGGTCTTTCCTCAGGGGTGAGAGGTTCGAAGTTGATCTGATGTATAGGCGGTCCTCGGTCTGCAGAAACTATGCCTGGAGAGTACAAGAACACACCTTAAGATGAATAATGATCCAACATCTTAAAACAAAGCATTCTAACTTTCACTTGGTTTTTTCATTAGTTTCACACAAGATAAACCCAACAAAACATTATTGTCCTGCAAAACATGAACACATCTTAAGAATGCCAATCTCATACATACAGTATAAAATTGTTACATGAAAAAAAAAAGGTTACATGATCATATCATTGAGCAATGCTGATTGTCCAATCTATCATCTGTTCCTTGCCAGTTATTGTGACTTTCTTCTAGCTGTAAAATTAATTACATTGACAGTAGAACACCCCCATCCAACCCTCCACTTGGAGCTTCCTTTGCTACGACATACTTTAAGAAACCAATGGAACCTGAGTTCACCTGACTGGAATACCTGGAGAGGCAATGGGCACCTGACTTTGACATACCTGGAGAGGCAATGGGTGCCCAAGTTCACCTAACTTTGACATACTTGGAGAGGCAATGGGTGCCCAAGTTCACATAACTTTGACATACCTGGAGAGGCAATGGGTGCCTGAGGACTGAGGACATTAGAATTATCTGAACACTGGGTTGGAATGGGTAAAGCTCTCTTCATCAATCGTCCCCATGTGGCTACATTGATGTTCATCTGACCAGGTCGGGGGAAATTCTTCCCTGAAAATTTAACAACAAAGATATAGTTAACTGTACTTACATGATAACAATTTTAACATCTCAAAACATGAAAAAAATAAGGCTGGACATTCTATGAACGGAAAGGGTAAAAATTGGGTAATACACAACTTTCTGACACTTTTATGATAATGATGGAACCTATTGGTGTATGTTCACCATCATGTCATGTGTAAAGTATAGGCCCACCTGAATGTATTGTGGACGCAGATCAATTCAGACAAATATACCCTTTATCTGATCTGCATCGGATTATTGCTAAAACACAAAAGTGATAATTTATAATAGTCATTCTAATGTGTTATAGTCCAAATTCATTAAATTCATTCCAGACAAATTAAGACAAAATCAATGCAATGAGTTGTTCTGTCACAAAATTAAATTATTAAACAATAAGACAAATCTCGTTAGTCAATACTTCACGGAGTTAATTTCTGTTTTCTTTTGGTCAACCATAACAAACCTAGAATGAGAGAACCAAATAACAATGGCCCTTTATCTGTTGACACAAATAGTTATAGGCAGACTACTACTTGCATTAGAACTCTGACAACATAAAACTTTAAACTGATAAAAACAAGACCCCTTCAGTAGCAGGATTATATAAAAGAAATACCTTTACCCTTTCCCCTTAAACACCAAGAGAGAAGTATCATTTAAACACCAAGACAGAAGTATCTTTATCAAAAGAAGAAAAAAATCACAACCAATTTGGAAAGGTTACTTCAGCTTTAGTATCTGGCAAACAAATATTGTATTGTGAAAGGTTTGATGCCTCAACATCCCTTATTGCTAAATTTAGAGGTCACTGCATTAATGATCAGGCAAGCATTTCACATATTTAAGTAACAGTTTTTATTCTGTATTTACTGTATAATACATGTATGGCATCTCTAGGATACAAGCAAGTTACAGCTCTCTGCAGAGCAGCCTGGGTGTCTGTCTTTGACTTAAATCTGCAGTAGCAAGGATAGTAAATTTACAAGCAAAACGAATGTCTGATTAATGAAATCTATAACTGACAATGTATTAAACTGAAAACTGGGACTTCTGACACCAAGAAAATATGATCCCAGAAAAAATGAAAAACAATTGAATGTTCTTTTAGCATTTTTTTTTTTTGGTCGATCAGGTCATATGTAAAAGCCACATTAATAACAACCAAAACAAGCACAAACACTTACACTATAAAATTTTGAGCTTCTACAATTATGATCTTTACAAAAACAATTATTCTGATAACATTTAGCTGAATTAAGTCTTGAATTTTACAAAACACTAGATTACTGCAAATCACGGGATTTTTTTTTTGGGGGGGGGGGGAAGTATTTTTGATAAATTGAAAACAACATAGTATCATCTATGGAAACAATTATTCCTATAAAGACTTCCAAGCAGCATTGAATTTCTCCAAAAGTCAGTGATTTCCAGTATTCAAGTGTTACGTTATCAGTGAGAATTAAATAATTCTGCTGTGATCAACTACTTTTTTTCTGAATATCACTGTAGTTGCAGATTAGAATTACTTCATATTTGTGAATTAATGTCTGATAATGAGTAAAATCAAGAGTATGACATTGGAGAAACTCGTTAGTGGGAGTGTAGCCTAAATAGGCAGAAAAAATGGGTTAAGTTTTCTGTAGACTCAAAGATATAAGTACATTATACGTCAGAAAAATATACAAGGTAACACTGATATACTTGCTTAACATATTATTATCTGGAAAAAAAAATAGAATTTCCTAATCAAACCTGTAATAATTTTTTAATATATAATGATATGATGTATGTGTATCATTTAAGCATGTAGAATCTTGACAAAAGTTACAATTAATGTTCATTATTTTTTCTAATTTTATCATATGCATATCGAAATACATTGGTGTAATGTATCAAGTTCAATGGATTGTTTTATAACTCTAAATGTGTCCAATGTGAGCCATGTTCATATCCAAAAATGTCCATGGAAAATAAAATAAAAAGTATATTCTAGATGGAAATAAGTTAACTATTTTAAAATATATATCACACTGATGATTTTTTCCCTCCTTTGCTAGTTACAGAGGGACCTTAGGGAACTGAAAATCCCCTGGTGTTCCCTTCAACCTTTCTTTTCAAAATCAAGTTAACATTAATAGTTCAGCAAATGATTTAATTTTCTTCTTCTTTTAAAATGTGAAGTGGTTTATGTATGCACACCTTGTTGTAATAAGTCAGATGTAGCAATCTGTGTGTTCTATTAATGAATGGGAAGTGATTGGGGATCATATAGAAATATCCCTTGACCCCGATCAGGATATGGTTTATGTGATTTCATGAGGTTTTTATTTCAAAAGTGGTCATGTATGACTTTATTTGAACTTTAAACTTTGACCAATGACCATCAAAATCAAACAGATAAAATTTTTTGATGTTATGGTAGTTTGATAACAGTATAGTTTGTGAAAAGAGGACTGAGCTTCCCTCAACCTTTCCTGATAAGTCTTATCTCACCTTTGTGTTTAGGAAAGATTTTTCGCTGTCTTTGTAGCTTAGGTTTCCTTGATAGAGATGGGTTCAGAAATGTGATCTGTAAAAAAGCAGTAAAAACAGAACTATGAAGTAGAGCTCAATGTAAATGTAGTACTCTTTATACTAAGGATTCTGAATCTTCAGCAAACAAGAACATATTTAATTGACTGTTCAGATTTATTTTTACCTAGATATACATAAACTGTAGCTCACTTAATGCTGTCATGTGTTATCAAGACTGCCATCTCTAAATTCTTGGTAACAGATATTTGAACTTGAAAGCTGGTACTAAGGACGCTGACAAGGTTTTCCCAACATTGGAGTGTCCATAAAAAAGATGTGTAATGTATGTAAAAGCATGCTGGGATTGATTGCATAATACATGTCAAGATTTACAAAACTATTTTACCATGTCAGCTGTTAAAGAGCCACAAAAAACTATTTTACCATGTCAGCTGTTACAAAGCCACACAAAACTATTATACCATGTCAGCTGTTACAGAGCCACACAAAACTATTATACCATGTCAGCTGTTACAAAGCCACACAAAACTATTTTACCATGTCGGCTGTTAAAGAGCCACAAATAGCTATTATACCATGTCAGCTGTTACAGAGCCACACAAAACTATGATACCATGTCAGCTGTTAAAGAACCACAAATAGCTATTATACCATGTCAGCTGTTAAAGAGCCACACAAACTATTTTACCATGTCAGCTGTTACAGAGCCACAAAAAACTATTATACCATGTCAGCTGTTACAGAGCCACACAAAACTATTATACCATGTCAGCTGTTACAGAGCCACACACACTATTATACCATGTCAGCTGTATCAGAGTCACACAAAACTATTATACCATGTCAGCTGTTAAAGAGCCACAAATAGCTATTATACCATGTCAGCTGTATCAGAGCCACAAATAGCTATTATACCATGTCAGCTGTTAAAGAGCCACAAATAGCTATTATACCATGTCAGCTGTATCAGAGCCACAAATAGCTATTATACCATGTCAGCTGTTAAAGAGCCACACAAACTATTATACCATGTCAGCTGTTAGAGCTAGACAAAACTATTATACCATGTCAGCTGTTACAGAGCCACACAAAACTATTATACCATGTCAGCTGTTACAGAGCCACACACACTATTATCCCATGTCAGCTGTTACAGAGCTAGACAAAACTATTATACCATGTCAGCTGTTACAGAGCTAGACAAAACTATTATACCATGTCAGCTGTTACAGAGCCACACAAAACTATGATACTTTGTCAGCTAACACACAATCATATAATACCATTTTTCATCCTTTTTATTACAGAACTGATATATGGTTTTATTTCTAGAGGAGGTTTGAAATACAGAAAAACATTTTGCTTGCCTCTGCAAACTGTATTCCCTGAGGCTCCATATGTATAGCCATGCCATGTCGCTGGTTGTCTAGAAAATCCTCTAAACGCAGAAATTTAACAGCACACATCTGTCGCCAGTCCTTCCAATAAATCACAATTTCTAATTCTCTAGACTGGAACAGAGGATAAAAACAAATCATCACAAATAAATACCACACAAGTCTAAATTATTAAGTTTTGAGGCAAACAAGACAATAGCGCCATATATAATCAGTATCCATGAGAAATCCTACAAAAGCTTGTCAACAAAAACAGAGATCTGAAATACTGATAGACCTTTACTGATCTTATTACTTATGAACATTGAAAAGAATATTTTGAAACCTGTATGAACATGTACAGGTCTGTCATAATCTATGACTGAAATAAACATTTAAAATAGAGCCAACTGGTTTATTTACATGCCTACATATGTAAACAGGCCCCAGAACTTACCCTATCCAAGTCTATACTTGTGCGGTGGTCCCAGCACTGCTGACTACATGACTTCCATGCTGTCTGGCCCACCTGTACATTATCTAGTTTGAGCACTGCCATCACCTCATCTAAATGAAAAAAAATGAATTAGCAACATGTGTGATATGCATGTCATGAATTTAATGAGCAAGAGAAAGGAATGAGGCTTCCTGTGTAAAGAAGCATGTTGAAAAGGGGAGTGAAACCAGGGCTCCCAACCCTGGAATTTCCCTAATCTATTACTGGGACAATAACACAATATTTTTTTGTTTCGAAAAGCAAAATGTATGGAAGAAGTATAAACATTGATAATAAATAAGGAAAATGATAACAGTTCACTCCAGATAAAGATTTTAATGTTGTTATCATATGAACAGTTATAATAGTGACCCTACTAAACTCACTGGATAAATCTTCCTTAACATTGTATGTTTTTGTTGATCTGCGTAGTAGACTCTTGCTTTCTCCTGGACTTGACAGAAGTAATTGTAGGTTATCCTTCTCCTTTTTACGACCAGGAATATCCTCCAGCAGCCCCTGACAGCCAACCAACCTGCAAGGGAGATCACCAATGTTAAAAGAGCTGGTCAACTAGGAAAAGTCGCTACAGACCACTCAAAAATGTTCATCACAAAAAAAGGGTAGAGTATAAAACAACTAGGTGTCATACATCTCTACAGAAACTCCATGTGAAGAGGACGTAATCAAGCAGGGGATGTCCCTATCCCTTCTACTGTACATGCTTGTTGAACATAGAATTTGAACTATTTTACTGATTTCTTTATCTTAAGTTGTTTCAGTGCAATGCCAAAGAAAATTTAAATTTTGCAATATTGTGGACAAATTTCTACAGCATTTAGCCTCAGAAAACTTATAGAAATTATCCAAAATTCATTAAAATCAAAATTTAATTATCGTCTTTTCGTCATTACTTCCACTTCAGAAATAACATTGCTCACAGCTTACCTGACCTCTAACTTTCCTGTTATTGCAGCAGATTTTGAGAAAGGGGAAGAATTTTGATTCTTTTTGTCCTTAGGGGGATAAATTGTTGGTGTAGCTACATTTAACTCCTCCTTTAGCAATTGTAGTTTGGATGACGTTGGGTCAAGCTCAACAATTCGTTTTTCTAATGAGATTCGTAAAAGTTCATATTTCTGGTTGGATTCCGTAAAACTAGATTGTGCCTGAAAAATTAAAAAAGGAAAAAATGAATATCACAGAAGTAAAATGATAAACTTTACACTCTTTCAAGTGTTTTCCTTAAAAAGTTATTTTCCTCAAGTTAAACAGATGATCTTCAAGTTCAATTCTTGATCATCATAGGGACATTGAAACATGCATCACTGATTATGAAGTGTGAGATATATGTTAACCAGTCAAAATCTTTCCACATCTTCACTGATGATAAATTTTGCAACTATTATCCTCTTTAATTTCAGTTCAAATTAGTTGTATCATTGTTTATAAATACTATACTATACCTCTTTGACAGCTTTGCTATCTGGAGACTTAGACATTTGTAGTAGCCGAAGAGCATTCTTAGCACCTTCCAATACAGCTGACTCTATTTTCATGTGGTGTCGTAACTCCTCTATCCGTAATTCAAGTGGAGATAATACCTCACATTGCTGAGTAACTGTTAACAAACAGAAATATTTCATCACAAGGCTGTGAGTTTATCAAAATCAAAACCTCACCTTTGTTTCTTTGTTAAATTTGTCAGAATCTGGTTAAAATAATATGAATCCTTTCCTGTTTGGTTATTGTACAGCAACCGTCACCATACTTAAGAAATCAAATGTAGAGTTCCTCAACTTCAAAATCAAACTTTGTCTTTGTATACTGTTCATGTTTGACAAAAAAAGTATATAAAAATGGAATGATATCTCATGTGGAAACTAAAGACTGTACAAAAGGGAGCTCCCTACACCATGATTATTGACCTTACTGTACATTCTAAGTTTCCTTTCACTGGCAAGGTGTGATTGTTTAACATGAATAAAGCTACAACACAAGAATAAATAGCTACCATCAACATCTGATGTTGTAGCATCTTGCGTGACCTTCAACATCTGCATGCGAATGATCTCCATTTTCGTTTTTGCATCACTCAACATTTGCTGAGCTTCCGCCAACATCTTTTTGTCCTTAAATGTTCCGGCACTATACATTCCAATCATATTCTCAGCTCCCTGTTTTACCTGAAAAGTGCCAAGCAGATCTACATGATTAAACTATTTACTTTATATAGTAAATATAAATAAACCAGAGAGTTTTAATTCATAGACCAGCATGAAGAACTGATTTGATCACATTTTCAAATGAAAATATATTGTTTTTGTATGGGCTTTGGGAAATGCTTTCCTCTTGAGTAAGGCCTGGTATTAACCTTATAATAACAATCATCTGTAATATAGTGCATCTGTATATCAATACAACATACCTGGTATTAATTGACGTGAATTTCCAACTAACTTGTATTGAGTTTCATATTACAGTGCACAGTCAGATCACCCTAAGGCAAATCAATATATACTTATCCCATGCCAAAGAACAACATGTATCAAGAAACAGAGAGGAGTAAGAGAGCTATACATTTTAATGACATATTACAGCATAAAAACAAATGGGTAGTAAATGCTGAACAAAAGGTAATCACTTTTTGAATATTATTAAATCAAAATCTCCTGTTGTGATTTTCAAGCCTACCAAATTCCAAAAGTTGAAAACTGAGAAAGGAGATATCCGAACAAGAAAATTGTTGAAAAAAAACCCTTTTTTCCAAAATTTTAAAATCACGACTGGAGAAAGGAAAAACTATTTCATGTGATGGTTAAAAAGCCTATCGAGTTTTATTTAACTGCTGAGAAGTATGGTGATTTATGCATATCAAGCTTGAAGGAAATGAATTAAAAACGGAGAGAGAGGATCTATGGATAAGATTAACATTATGAAAACAACAAGGGGCAGTAACTCTTCCGAATACAGTTTAATCAAACTACCATTCACCCTAAACCTAAAACTTCTAATTATGATGATTACAACACCAAGTTTGGAAGAAAATAGTTGAAAACTGAGAGAGGTGATCTCTGGACAAAACTTATATAACATAATCAACACAACTTAATTTCATGGCGATTAAGCCTACCAAGTTTTAAAAAAATCAATTGAAAACTGAGAAAGGAGAAATATGGAGAAGATTAACATGATGAAAACTAGCTTCTAAATACAGTAAACTCTTCATCTCATGCTACTTAAGCCCATCAAGTTTGAAAACGATCTGTTGAAACTGTAGAAAGAGATCTAAGGACAATTAAAAGTTTACAACAGACATATAGGTAACGCCATACATCAAATAATATGTCCCATCAAAAACTTTACAAAGGCACGTAAAAAAGACCAAAAGATTATTTCATGAAGATACTGCAATGACATCCAAACAACATTTTGAAAGTGTTTCTTTGAGCTTCTTACTTTATTTTCAATATCAAATTGTTTCTGTAAGGAGGATATCCGTGAGTTGGCAGGGTTGCTTTCCATTTGATTTTGTCCATCTCTCTCTGGAGATTGACCTGTAATACAAAGAAAAATGTATAATTCAAATGCATTTCTAAAATCCAAAAGGATAATCAAGATCTAGAAATTCCTACTGAAATAACCTTATATATGAAAATTATGAAATTTGTTGAATTATGGGGGATTATGTGGGCTAGTGCACTATTCCCATCTACATCCGGACTTTTTTTTTTTAATCAGTTTTGATTTTCATCAATTGAAGTCAAGCCTTTGAATGATGAATCAGCTGTATGATGATAAATTTGTATTAAAAGGTGCTATTCACTTGTGTGTTGTTTGTACAATCTAGGAAAATGCGGGGACATGTAAATTTTGGAATGCTTCTTATAAGTAAGTAATTTTAGAACCCATATCAGCAGAATGTGTTCATACAGTCTGTTTATTGTTTACTTCAACAATAGCAAAAAAAAAAAGTCTCTAGGACGAATTATTTGATGTTTTATGATGTTGACAGGTTTGTTTTTATCATTTAGCTTGCACACAAGAATCAATATTGAGTGACGTTCAAAGTTTAAGGATCTGTCTAATCTAAATGTCAACATCTGATAAAATCAAACACTCTGCATAGTTAAACTACAGATAAAATATTTCATCTATCTTTCTGATTAGGTATATAAACTAGTTACCAGTTATGATTTTGTGCAGTCATACTTTCACGAACCATCATCAACAAAAATATGTAATGTACGTGTAACTTTTTAAATATAACCAGAAACATGTGGCTGTCGGTTGTCAATAGAACGATTCTAATATTTATATGAAACACAAACAGAAATACGGCACATAAAACTGATAAAATCAACAACCCTTATTACATTATTGTGAGAAAGCATTTGTTGGCTTGCTGCATATAAACATTTAACAAACACCATGCAAGTCAAAATCTTATTCAAATTTCCTTAGTAACAAAACTAAACATTCTATGATTTCCATGCTAAATTTACAGATTTATGCCTGTTTAGTTAAAAAAATTCCTAATGCTTCAAATCTTATTTAGACTTAAGTATGTAAAGATGAGAACTTAATATAAGGCTTCAATTTTACTACTACCTATGTTATATATGTTAAAGATATGTATTTAATAGTCTGTAACAAGGAAATGTCTAGGGCACAAGGCTCGCTGAAGTAAAGGAATACTTCTACTTGTTAATGTCTTCATTCAATGTATAATGTAGTACTGTATTTTTTAATGATCTAGTCATAATCTATATTAAATCATCTGGTAAAATCAATCTGTTTCAAGAAATTAAATCAGAAAGAAAAATGCAGAAACATGTTTGTCAAATAAAAGGTGTAAGGCTAGTTTGAAAACTTTGCTTTAACTGTTTTAATTTATATATCGAGGTTTTTTCCACCAACAACATTTTTAGAAGGTGTCATCAATTACAATTATGGGTTATTCTCAAGTAGATTTGGAGACCTAGGTTTGACCTCTAACAAATGCAATCCCCCATAGGAAAACAAAGGACAAAGGAAATGACACATAATTCCCATTACCCTAGTACTGTTTTTTTATGATTCTTGATAAAAACTGATCTACGAAGGAAATGCTCCCTGTGACCCAATTATAGGAGAACACAACCAGATGACGAAGCTTTCATTACACTGCTTGTCAAGGTTAGGTGACCTTGGAAACCACCAAGGTCATGAGATTATGAAATAAGAGTAGTTTGTCAATACAGAGGAGTTTTAGGTTTAAGACATGAATAAATCACCAAGGAAGCTTCTTTCAACATTTAAGATGATCATCTTTCTGTATTTTGCTTACCGTACAGGACACGAGTGTTTTAATTTTGCAGTCTTGAAGAAATGTTTAGCTTCTCCAACTACACTATACTTTTCCCAAACATTCTCCTCAATTTTTTAGCAATCTCTTTCATTAAAATGTGAATATTTGTACTAAAAGTTAAGATTTTTATATCTGCTATCCTGAACTGTTTATAAGGGTTATAATAGATGAATATACATGCTTGATAAAACATCAGATAACTCTAACAAAATACAAACATGTAAAACAATACTATTGGCTACAAGCTGGGAAAAATCATATTTATCAAATTATTCACCTGTTATCAAGACTCCCCCCATGTAGTGGTTTTGCATATTGTATAGCCAGTTATTTTCATAGGGATATTTCCGACCATTTTATTTGAAAATTGCAAAAATTTAGATCTTTGGAAATTTTTCAAATGGCACAACAAAATGGATATCTAATTAATTTGTTGTTTTAATTTGTTCCCAACTTTAATATCAGTTAACATGTAGGAAATTTGTTTCGAAGTTTTAAGGTTTGCAAAAATAAAAATATCTGAGACCAGTTTCATAGAATCTATGAAATGAAAACTCATGTAAGACCCTATGTATGTAAAGGTGACTAAATAGCACGAGAAACAATATACTAGAAGTGGCTAGAGATTAGGACAAAATATATATATATCAGATGCGACTTGAGACTGGGACAAACTATATTAGAGGTGACTTGTTTATCAAGACACAAACAGGCAAATTTAAATAGTATTCACCGGATCTGCCTCTTTATCATTCAGTTAGATAACACCTATCAACAAAGACCAAAGCCCACCCACATCAATATAAAGCAGAGAGATCTACACAACATATTTACATCAACTGTTTTACAGCCTTTAACTGTAAAACTACAATGTCAATCTAAACTCAATACCACCCACTGTTGGTTCGATGCTGTCTGTGACCTAATTAATCATCTCCTAATTATACATTAGTTGTAGAGATATTGATACACATACACACACAGCTCCTCTATCTGTTATAATGTATATTCCTCACAACCAATATACCTCATGACAGACATGTTGACATGGATTTGCCATTCATGTTCTAAAACTAAATGCTAAATATTTGTGAGTGACAAATTTTAAACATTCAAGCTGTTTTTCTGTATGTATAATTAGAATACCAAATGAACAATCACACATAAAATTATTAATTGAATTCATTAGCAAGTCGACATCTTTAAATATATAGCTGTTTAAAAGAAAAATTTTGTCAGTTTTTATGAAATAATAAATGACCTATAACCATCATGACAAAATTGTTTATATATAGAATACATGCCAATATATTTAGTAAATCTGATCATCTAGGTGTGCTGACACTGTGATGAAACCTGATGTTACCTATATACACATAGAAGTATATACATCTGTAGCCAAAACATGTTTCATTCTGTCTGTTCTATAATGTAATTATTGTACAGTGGCACAGACAGCCATTGTAGACTAGTGTGGGGATGTAAACACAAAGATGTTTTGTAGCAGACTATATCATTACACTAGGTTACTTACAATTAAATTATCTCCAAGCTTGCTACATAAATCATGTCGCAATCACATGCTCTGCTTGGAATGTTTTTGTGTGAAAAAACAAACAGTTTATATGTATTCATTGGCAAACAACTACTTTTCCAGGACAAGAAATGATAAGTGACATTACCTGCCAGTTTTGTAGAAAATTCTACCTACAATAGTTCCTCATGAATATTTTTTTCTTCTTCATAGCCTATACCACTGTAAGCCAAGGCTTGTTTGTTTTTGTTTTTATTACATTCTAGGATTTATCATCATTTTGGCAAATTTGCAGGTCAATGTGACATAATTTACAGAACAGAAAAATATGTGTGTGATTATAACAAACGCGTGCTTATTGTTAATTACATCAATCATAATCAATAAACAAATAATTGATCATGAGTTTTGTTTCATTTCCATCCCTCATATTTTATAATGTTTTATAATGCTTTGTCATGACCTGCCAAAAATGACAGAATTTTACTATCTGAAATTAACACACTTCTCCAAGCAAAGCCTGTCATAACTGGCATATTTGTTATATGGTTAAATGCATGCCTACCATGATATACACAAAAGTAATGTTTCCTGACTAAACTGAGATCTGGTGTTCAGACCTTCATCATATCCAAAATATTTATATAGATATATATTTATTAACAGAATCTGTTTATTTTGGCAGACTATGACCAGGTTTTACTGCCTATGAACCGCCATTTTAACATTTGAGGCAATTTGTTATTAAACATTAAAGACAGGACATTCATCCTTTGCTCCCATCACCAGTTAGCGGAGACAGCTGTTTCTCCGCCATCAGTTAGAGCTGGCTACCCGCCCTGTTTTCATCTGATCATATGGGCCTACACTACCACATGTATTTTGACTGAGACAATGCCCTCTCTACACTACAAACTTGTAACAAGATAGGCAGGCTACAGTTCTTCTAACCACCTCTCACCTTCTTGTGGCTTTAGAACTTTAATATACCTCAGTGTATACACATATATCAAACGGTAGATATAAGGCTAACTATTACATCTCTGAATAACTACTAACATTCAATCTGAAAGTGAAAACTCAACACCATCATCTGGAACTGGGGTATGGGTGAAATCACACATTCAACAGTTTCGCTGTCTTATTCCAAAACCTTCTGAGCAAAAGGCGTCCTTAAGGAAGGGTTAGACTGCATTCTTCCCATTAATGATTAATTAACAATACATACAAATTATTATGTAGAGTGTGTGTATTGTATCAGTCTTCATTATCTGATGTGTTTGTACCTTGGTGGGGGACTTATTATCATTTACCTGTCCAATACATTGATATTGCCTGTTAAATTTTAACACTGATAAGCAAGAAGTGTTTACATATAGGAGATGCATTTATCTAATACAAATTTCATCTTGGTGCCCCTTGTCTTAAGTGTGTACACAAGGAAGATGGTTATCCTGTATGATTAGATTAGAGAGTATGAATCTGGACAGTGTATAGCTTATAAAATACTGCTGCCAATTTTCTTATTATGATTGTGTGGCAGTCAAATCACCATGGAAATGATCATATGAATGATATATAGTACATTGCTCATCTTTATTCTAATTCTTTTTTCATCTCTTTTTCGCCTTGACTTTATTTTCTCTTTTTCCACCCTATTTTCGATGATATCT